TCAACACCTTAGTGGACACAACGGCATCACCAGATCCTGCTAATGCCAGCCCAGACTCACGTCAGAGCGGGGACGGACAGGTCCATGCCAGACCCAGATGAAGGTCAGTCACATGATGGCATCTCTCTCGTTGTTTTTGTCGCTGGGGTTTTTTCCCCTGTTCCTCTCTAATAGCATACGAAAGTGGTAGGCCTCACCGGAAGCCAGGAATATATTACAGGGACGGGAGTCTATGTACGCTAAGCTTAGACATAACGCGACAAGTGTATTGACTTCAGCTTAATAGACAGTGTTTCTTTCAGACATTTTACTTCGAGGGGTGCTTTATTACTTGTAAGAGACTAGATGTCTGAGATCAATGCATAGATTACGTGAAATGATTAAAATATTTAATTTAAATATTAAACACAACATGATAACTTAAACTTCATCTTTAATTAATTTTTTTTTATAATGCACAACTCGGTAAATAAAGAAATTATTGAGTTAAGCCCCCTTCTAACTCTCCTTACTAACCTTACTAGCAAACACGCATATACACTGAAGAGAGCTCAAAGTTGTATTTCTGTTTGTCTTTGTTGAATCTACCGGCGTTCTGTTTCTGTACTTTCTGATAAGCTATAAAATTATTTACAGAAGCCGATGTAAATGTAAACTGTGTAAACTTAGTCTATAGAATTTTTTTAAAAGTGTACACACGAATGCCATCAACTGTGGCCGTGATTAACGAATTAGGTTCTAATAAGAAAGCCGGCTAATTACTTAATGGCATCTAATGAACGGGTTTCGTACTGTCGATATGGTAAATGGTGTAAGGGTTGTGATTTAGATTCAAGCTTGGATTAGATACATAACCGGGACTATAATTATGGCTTGAGTCAGAGCTAAGCTTTATCTTGGGTTAGGTTCAAAGCTATAGTTAGGATCAGAGAGAGAGAGAGAGATAGTTGGAGAAATGATACAAGCAAAAGTGAATGAGCTTCGACACGCCTAGCCGTCACTTTTAACTCACACAGAAGAATCCAGAATTCTGACACAGTCAATTAGATATACACAGAATTTTGACACAGACAATTAGATATACACAGAATTTTGACACAGACAATTAGATATACACAGAATTTTGACACAGACAATTAGAAGTATCCAGAATTCTTACACAGACAATTAGACACACCCATTATTTTTTAACATATTTAAAGCATCAAGTATTCCGACACAATTAAAAGTTTATTATTCTTACACAACTTGAATTACCAATTAGTAGGGCCTATACTTATACAACTACCTTGAAGTGTCATGAATCACGACATTTACTTTTAAATACACAGCATTTTGACGTAACATCTACTGTCTACAACACGTGTTATTTTCTAAAAAAAACAACGTTGAACTGAACAGTAAATCCATAGTTTCCAACGTAACGTGATAAAGTCCTATCTGATACCCTCGGCTTCCCGCGTTTGTCTTCTAATTAATCTATAAAATACTGAAACCAGATACCTAGGGTGGGTGGGTGGGACTGGGTGGAATTTCGCAATTTATGACATTGCCGTCAGGATTTAAAGCCTGAAATCGTGAAATTGACACTGCTCGGGATGACAGCAGATTAAAAATAGAAAATCGGTTTATTTCTGTGGCATTTTTAATCATCCCCAGATTCAATATCTGATGGCATTTTATTTACTGGAAATGGTTGCTTTAATCCCTTTTATAGAATTGTAAAGTTTTATTTTTCTATTTTTATTTATTGTGATTGTATGAGTTTACTTGTTGTTTTAAAACAAAATAAATAAAAAATAAATATACTTTTATCTTTGGTTTTAAAAAAGGTTGTTTTTTACTTCTTTTTAAAAATAATAATTTAAAAAGAGACTACAATTATTTAAATAATGAAAATTACATTTTTTTTATTTCTGAAAGTTTTTAAAAAAAACTCCGGTTTTTAAATCATCACAATATTGGCGATGTAGCCTAATTAATGAGACAGGAACGGTTTTGAATTCCATTTAATTTATTTAAAAATAAAATAACTTACAACCACTTCGAAATTTACGTACACCAACGTGACATTTAAAACTTAACCAAACTACAGCTAATGATCGTGTACACATCTAAATAAACAATAACATAACACACTTAGCACGCGTGTTGCTGAATTCCAATGATGGCTGATCCCAATGAAATCATCAAGCTAGGGAAAATGCCATAGCCATTACGGGCTCAGGAAAAAACAAATTGACGGGGATCTAGCCGGTTTACTGGTCACGTTTGGAAGATGGCAACCCGCACGGCATCGTGTTTGCTAGGCCTTTGTCGTCACATATTCCAGATGAGTGGTTCTTACATTGTGTAGGTGAGGTCTATAGTCACATATTCTAGATTAATGGTTTTTACACTGTCTAAGTGAGATCTTTATAGTCACATATTCCATATGAGTGGTTCTTACATTATTTACGTGAGGCCTTTGTTTTCACATATTCCATATCAGTGGTTCTTACATTGTCTAAGTGAGGTCTATAGTCACATATTCTAGATCAGTGGTTTTTGCATTATCTAAGGCTATAGTCACATATTCCAGACCAGCTGTTCTTACACTAAGTGAGGTAGTAGTAGTTACATATTCCCAATCAGTGTTTCTTAAATTAACAAAGTGAGGTCTTCGTAGTCACATATTACAGACCAGTGGTTCTTACACTGTCTAAGTGAGGTCTATAGTCACATATTCCAGAACAATGGTTTTTACATTATCTTAATAATGTCTTTGTAGTTACATATTCCAAACTAGTGGTTCTTGCATTATTTAACTGAGGAATTAGCAGTCACATATTCGAGACCAGTGGTTCTTATATTATCCAAGGAAGGTCTTTGTAATATATTATATTCCTTATTAGTTTTTCTTAAATTAACAAAGTGAGGTATTTCTCGTCCTATAGTTAAGACCTGTAAGTTCTTCGTAGCTTAATTGATTAAAGTTTTTATAGTCACATACTTTAAATCTTAATTTGCGTAATTTTTTTCACATTCTAGTGATGGTCTTTTTTTTCTACACGTTATGTAATATCTTACAGGCAAATATAAATGACTGTCATTGTAAAATATCTCCATTTTTTTAAAAAAATGCTATTAATAAATTTCTTTTGTAGCCGGGAGTGCTCGCCCTTATACCGTTAGAGTTAGATCTAGTAGTTAGCGACCTCTGTTCAGTCCGGATATTGTCTCTGGCCCTAATCCATGCCAAGTCACGTAACACGAGAACGCTTCCATCAGAAAAATCTATAGGCTGCTCGTATCTTATTGTCTCTACGTTATCTCAAGCCATTAACAAAATATGGGTGATTTTTTTTCTTTCTGAACGGCCCGTTCGTGAATGACGTCATCAGTGTTTCTTCCAGACTTTTTTCTCCGGGGGGGCACTTGAAATCTTCGGAGGGGCGGTAAACTTTCTTCGGGGGGGCGGACACTGTTAAAAGTATATATTTTCTATATAAATTATATAAATTTCATTTCGTTCGGATTTTTCGGGGGGGGGGGGGGGGGCGAAGCCCCCCCCCCCCCCCCCGAAGAGATGCCTGGAAGAAACTCTGGACGTCATACGATCGTGGCCAAATTTTACCCCCCAAACAGTTAGTCACAAAAAAAAAGCTGGTAGGGGAGCGGGCAGGGAAAGTGCCAGTGGAGTTATGCCCCCTTCCTGCGCCCCCCCCCCCCCAAGAGTTGCCTGAAAGAAGCTGATAGTTAGAGCCTGGTAGAAATAGGCCTTTAATGCAACAGCGGGCATCTCGGTGTTAAAATATTTAAGAAGGGGTCAACTATGTCAGTGTATTTTGTTGTTAAAAATGACACCGTTTCAACAGGTTAGAATATTATTAGAAACAATTTAATTTTTACTTCACCTAATTTTGTATATGGAATTACTATCCAGTATATACTGACACTATACTACATAGGCTACTATAAAATCATGGCTCAGCATTTTTCATAAATATATGTTTGTTTTTTTTGGCTGCAGAGGCGTAGCGACCCTTCCCGGCGCCCGGGGACAAACTTTTCGATTTGCACCCCTCCCTCAAGATTTCTTTTTTGCACCCCCCCTCCCCAAACTTTCGATTTGCACCCCCCTCAAGAATTCGATTTGCCCCCACCCCCCACTCAAACTTCCGATTTGCACCACCCCCCCTCCCTCAAGATTTCGATTTGCACCCCCCCCCCCGTCACACGTTCGATTTGCACCCCCCTAAACCTTTCAATTTATTTTTCCAACCCATTTTGGCGCCCCCTAAGGTCGGCGCCCGGGGACATATGTCCCCCCCCCCCCCCCGCCACACCCCCCCCCCCCCCTCGCTACGCTACTGTTTGGCTGGAAAACCATTAAATCCTAGAGTTTTGTTAAGTGTTGGTCTATGAATGATACTGTAAACAGTGATACACATTTTGTTATTTTATTATTCCTGCAAAAATTAACAGAAAGCACTATTTTACCTTGTAAATGTATATGTATAGCGCCTAGCAAAGGAACAATTAAGGTAAGTAATTCTACAAAACATTAAATAACAATCCAAAATGAGTTGTATCCCTTTATGTTTTTGTTTATGGGTTTTTTTTTTTTTTTTTTAATCAAGCAAGTAAATTTAAATGCAAGATTGCATTAAAAATGAAACGTTACAGATCGGCGCAAAGAAATCATTTTAATTTTTAAAAATTTTAATGTATTTAGATTCTAACACTAAAATATGTTCGATTTAGAAATGTATTCCCGTTTCCCATCATTTTGTTTAGAATAAAGTTAAATAATGTTGTCTCCCTTGTACTTCCGGAACATTCTATCTGTGTTGAATGCTGCTATCGAATCGATACCTTTTTAAAGTATCGTATATACAATTATTAAATAGGTTGTTTTAATGTATCGATACTGATTTACAAATCACTATAATCATAACCGCCCTTGTTGTTTATCAACCATACTGACCAAGAGGAATACACAACTAGTTGGACGTTTGTTTTATTTTTATAACCTAGCCTTAAGTCTACTAATTTATTTAAATTCCATACAACAATGAGCAAAAGGAAACTGCCAAGTGGGTCCGTAGCCCTTAGTCAGTATCGAGACCAGCATTTTAGGGTAAGTCATCTAGAAATAGAAAACTGCCAATTTATTTAGGCCTACTAGATCTATTTATTTTTTAGGTAATCTATCGTTTTGGGTACGTAAAATCGCCCGCGGCTATTTATGTACGAAAACGTTACCTCATTGTCAAGGCTTTAATAGAAGTATATTGTCATACTTTTGTGTCAAATATTATAGATAAATGAATAATAAACCTAAATCAATAGATAAATATATCGATATAGGCCAGAAATTAACTTTAAACAGCAGTGTCTGAGAGCAAGATTTGCTATATAAACAGCAGCCATTTGTAAAATAGAGTGGCTTCCCCCTGAATCTGGCGCTAAAAGCTTATAAAAATAAAACTTAGACAAGATGGCTGCTATAGTAAATGAGCTTGGTTGCATCTGTTGGAAACATAGCTAGTCTTCATTTATTACGGAAAAGTTTTAATTCAATTGTTTAAAATCAGGTACATAAATGAATCAAGGAAACATTTTTGAATTTTTTAATACATAAATCCTCCTCAAAATGTGAAATAATTATTAAAATTTAAGGAGTCACCTGTTTTTCACATTACAAATCGCGGGCGATTTTACGTACCCAAAACGATAGATTACCATTTTTTATTTTCATTTTTTATTCCACACTCAAAACAAAAATTTAGATCTCTAGATTAGATCTAGAATCTAGACAGATTCTAAACTCTAAGAGGATAAGCCAAGCAATAAAATTCACTGGCTCCTAGAGTCTAGACTCGAGTTAGAGTCCTACGCTAGACCGCTAGAGAATCCCTAGAGATCTAGATTCTAGATCTTTAAGAAATAGCAGTATCTAGAATCTAGATCTATCTTCTTTAACTTCTTAGTTCTTAGCTATCTACTCTAGTCAGTCTAGAATCTAGTGGTATCTAGTCTAGGCCTAACTAAATGTTTTGCTTGTTGTTACTACTATACTATGAGTATGATGAACTCACTGTTATGAACTTCAACTTTCAACATAGCGACTAGATCTAGAATCTAGAAATCTATGTCTCTAGACTTTAGATTAGTCTAGAGTAGTCTAGAATCTAGTACTCTCTTGTCTAACTAGCTAGAGGCATAGCACGACATTGGATTGGTCCTCCCAAAAATTCATGTTGGTGGGTGACGTATGACAATATGAGTAGGCATTTCCAATTTTATTATGATTTGAAATTCTCGCTTGAGCTGTGATACTACAATAATGAATGTCTTGCGTATTCTAGTTCAACGCTCATTCAAATCATAGTAAAAATCATAATTTTAGGCTACGTTACTTTATTTTAAGGCACCTATCCTAGATTTTTGCTAATTAAAATATGGAATTTATATCAAAACTAGGTCCTTATACTTATGGCACTCAAATATACACACACATTCCGTTTATATTAACAATGGCTATCAGGCCCTGGCTAATTGCTCCATGGCAAATATAGCTGTATTTTCAGCTAGTGTTGTTGGGAATTCAGATTAGTGAGGACCTTGGCTGTCCCTCTTTATTGAATGGAAATTTAGTTTTATTTTAATTCTCTTTTTTTTAAATGATATAATTATGACAGGTTGGTATTAATAATTAAGATTGAGAAATAGTTTTTTTATTGATTAGAAATTGTAAGTCACTGTGTTGAACAGTGTTACTCATTGTTATTGTTATCACAAAGTAAAAACGGTGTGATATGGCAATCGTTATAATATTTGAAGTATGTATGTGATGCTGTGTGCCAAATACAAGTACTATGTCTGAATGCAAGTTTGAATGTGAATGTCCAATGAATCAAACACAGAGTTTTAAAATTTTTTAGCTGTCTTATACTCCTTCCTCCAACTACATCCGCTTGGCTTTTTAAACTCGTGGGCGTAAGGTTTTAAGGATATAGGTAAGGTAAACAGGTTAACATACATTTTTACTATACTGTACCCCTTGTGTCATTATTATAGAGTACAGATAGCAAGAATACTTCTATGAGGGTAAGTATTTTGTCTCTGTGTTGATTTCAAAGTATTTTGGAATCATGGAGGAGAAAATGCATTTAGAAATGGGAGCAATTATTGTTATTTAAAATAAGCCCTTGATTGATTCATCACTTTTTGGAAGAACAAGGTAAAAACAATAAAATAAAAGCACAGAGTAATACAAAATTTATTGTTTGAGGTATAAGCTTAAGTTTTAAACAGACAGTACATTGTCATGTAAGGCAGCTCAATCACTTTGTGTGCTTGTATGCAAAGCACTTCATGCTGTAAGTAGTTTTTGGTTTAAATATTCAAAATGCAATACATTGATTTATTCATCTTAACAATTTAAATTTAATAACATAATATTTGAGTTATTCTTTATTGGTCATTAACTCCATTTATATTTTCAATTTACAAATGTAAGTAACTATTACTTTCTAACACATAAGTTATGGTAAGTGAAATGTTTCAATTTCAATGTGTGTGTTCATGTATTAATTTGTCATAATTTACAAATTATTTAGTTTATTTTTTTATACTTAAGACGGTTAAGTATTATGTAATTAAATTTCTAGGTTTCTTTTATTATTGAGACTTTTTCCTTACATTTTAACTCTTCGCATGTTTTAAATACGTTACCATATCTATTTTAATCAATATATTTTAACATTAAGCTTTTTCAATGCATATTTTTGCAGGGAAATCGAGCAGAGCAAGAAAAATTACTTCTCACAAGTTGTACATTATACATTGGCAATCTCTCCTTCTATACAAGCGAGGCCCAGATTCACGAGCTTTTCAGTAGAGCTGGAGATGTCAAGAGGATAGTCATGGGGCTTGATAAAGTGCAGAAAACACCTTGTGGCTTCTGTTTTGTTGAGTATCCTTTTTAGGATCACTGTTCATGGGGATTAAGGAGAAACTGTTGGTTAGCTGCCCTAGATGTCTTCTGCAATAATATCACCAATATTTTGAAGGGTTTTTATGACCCTTTGCAGATGTGTGTTTAATAAAAAGCTTTAATGGCCATCCACATTTTCATATAAACGGTCCACTGTTTGATTAGTGGGTTGTTTTGTCCTTAAATAATAATACTTGCTTTCATATGCTTAAGTGGCCGGCAAATAAAACATGTTACAGAGTTGTGCACCTGCAAACAAATGATTGCAAGAATACATATATTATAACAGACACTTTAGGTGTCAGATTTTGTTGTTTTTGTTCAAACATTGATTAGTGGATAATAATATGAAAAAAAAAACCTATACCAGTAGTAATAATTTGCTTGTACAATGCACAGTTATCTTTCTTGTCCATTTTTCTAATGTGAGCAGCAGATGGTGCAAAGCTTGACAGCCCTGCACTGAGAAAAAAAAATGGTGTAATGCTGTAATTATACATTAACAGGGACATACCCAGATACCCTGTTTGCTAAACTTTAGCTACATTGTGTCACATTGATTATAGTTTATTTTAGTAGTTCTTGGAGTACACTTGTTTTTAAACACAGATTTAAAATTAGTTCTGAAGCTCAATTTTATATTGATATCATATATTTGTAGGCCTATACTTTTTATTGAAATATTATTTTAATAGGGAACAAACTTAGTCTTTATATTTAAAACCCTTTAATATCAAATGTTGCCTTGACTTGCCTAACCAGATATTATATCAGATATGATGCAGAGAATGCCATGCGCTACATTAATGGGACACGCTTAGATGACAGGATTATTCGTACTGACTGGGATGCTGGCTTTAAAGAGGGACGACAGTATGGCAGAGGAAAGACTGGAGGACAGGTATGATTCTCAGCTTTTTTTTTTTGGATTGGAGTATTTTAGGGTATGGCAGTTACATTTTCTGTCATTGGCATGGTGTGGGATTGTTTATTAAAATTAAAGTATATTTTTTGTTCATCTAATATTTAATTAAGGCAACTAAAACAGCTTGTGAAATATTTGTTTTTAATTCTTGACTTTTTATAATTAGATTTAACATCTTAGGACTATTATTTTATACACACTGTATAATATATTGTGAAATGTGTTTTGTATACACCTACTAAAACAATTGAATTTTGAGCTAATAGATTTTTGTGTTTATAGTTCATTTCTGTTTTTATTTTAATTATGTTTGAGATAACAAAGCTAATCTAGGAACATTAAGAACACATTGTTTAATCTAATCTGTGAACCAGTAATTTTTTCCGTTTCATATTAATAGGTTAGAGATGAATATCGTACAGACTTTGATGAGGCTCGAGGTGGATACGGCAAAATGTTGGCCACCAAAATCAGACGTACCAGTGATGTGTCCTAACTGTTGTGACTGAGGATGAAAGTGTGTGGCTGTTCTTTGACTGACTGAGAATGAAAGTGTATTTTTAATTTTTAGTGTAAATAAAGTAAAAAGATATCTGGGCAATCTAAAGATGAGATTGCTGTTTTTTTTTTTTTGTACAAAATCATTGTTGTTTTATGACATTCAATTTTCATTAATTCATTGGTCATTTAAAATAAATACTTGTAATAATTGATGGAAACTTCTTTTGTTTGACTTTTAAGTTGAGGTTGTCTGAGTATTGTATGTTATTTTAAATTCACAAATGATTGAAATGTATGTAATTGTAGCTTAAATACATCAAAAAATTAAGCAGAAGATTATATTTCTTTTTGATTTACCAGCTTTAATGTTTATAAAAATCATGGTAGTTATATTTATTTACACAAGTAACCATATTTTAAGTGCTCTGATAAGTTTTTACACAAAATCTGAACATGCCAGCATATTCCTCTGGTAAAACTTCCCAGAACACTATCACTAAGTCTTATTATTAATAAACTGCACTGTTTTGCGTCTTAACTGCAGTAAATTCAGTTTATTAAAGCTTTAGAATTTTACAGTTGAATACAGGGATTTTATATATTTGGTTAGGATATTTCTTGTTATTGACAAAATTTGAGTGATCTCCCTCTATTCTGAACTCAACCAGTTCACAACACCTGGAAAACTAACTGGTTGATCACTATAGGGAAGAGGTCGGCAACCTGTGGCTCTTTTGATGTCGAGATGTGGCTCTTCATCTCCATGCAAAAATATTAATAGTTATATTATTTCATTTTCATAACTCATAAAAATATTGTTCTGCAACACTCAATATTAATTAAAGAAATAACAATAAACACTCGCTATTCTATTAGAATATTTAGTTACTCCCTATTTCAAGGTACTTCCTACTAACTTGTCTATCCCTAATTGAAACTCCGAAATGAAAACATCCGTCACATTTCTTACACTGATACATTTCTGTAGACTACCACTTTGATATCACATATATGTAGACCACCACACTGATATCACATCGAAATTCTATAGACTACCACTCTCATGCGTGAAGCAAAATACCGAATCACAAAACTTGTGTTTACTTTCTCGTATACGAAGTATAGAGGAAGTATTGTAAACGTGCAAAAAAAAAGATTTTTACAAATCTTGACGTTTTACACCTCTCAGAGTCGGAAAAAAATAGTTTTGCAATTTTGTCCATATGGTTGTGTGTGTGTGTGTCTTAGAATAAGATAACTTAAGTACCGTTACAGCTAGGTTGATGAAATTGCATATATAACTTAATAAGTCTATATCAAATGTGTTGTTCTATATCAATTTTTCACAGATTTCCTGTAACCGGAAGTGGAACTTATTCTACTTTCAATTTTCCCAAAAGCCTATAACTGAATACTGTTTCTGATAGATAAAAGGAGTTTCACGTGTAAGTAAAAGATCTAATTGTCTGCATTCTGTCGAATTTTGAGTCATTTCCGTTGACCGGAAGTAGTAATTTACGCTATTTCCGATTTCTCAAAAAAGAATATGAATTTATAAAGTACAAATAATACTCCGCATATTATACACATTGTTTGGCGTTCAATTGGTGCGCAATTCTTTTTTTCTCCGAGATTCTATTCTATTTTCAAAAAGTTTAAGTAATTAAAAATGGATTTAAAATATTGTCTAAATCCCGAGTTGCCATCCCCCATTGTTTTATATAAGACATAAGAATGTTCGAGAACGTTTAGGGGAGATTACTCCCGTTTTATTTATTGCACGATTACAATACTTCCTCTATACTTTGTATACGAGAAAGTAAAAAGCGCATGGAAAGGGAAATAACTTAAATTTAAAAAAAAAAATACACAAACTGTGCAAATACATTTTTTAATTGGAGCTTTAAATTCATTTAAAATATTGATTAATTTTGTAAAATTAACAATATTTGTTAGTTTAAATATTGATAAAAAAATGTATTATTTATTAAAATTTAATATTTTTTATTATCTCTATTATAAACAAAAAGACAATAAGAATACGTATTATTAATTGGTATAGATAACATCACTAACTCTTAGAAATTTGGTCTTAGTTATAAAGAAATGGTAAAAATTTTGGATCCCCGTTCCGGGATAAGATGGACAATAATCTAAGTCAGGGTTCGGCAACTGGCCACTTTATGTCAGGATGCTGCTTTCCAGCTCCGTGAAGAAATATTAATAATTGTATAATTTCATTTCCAATGGACGATTGGATACAAGTTTACCCTGCGTTCAGTAGGGTGAAATAAAAGCCTGATGTGAACTAAATGACAGAAGCGACCGATATGCGATAGTAAAACTAATATACTAGACAGTTTGTGTTTGCCGTGCTGATGCCCGCCTGGCTAATGGGAGACACCTCCTGAGCTGGTGTTATGCGTAGAAAAAAAAATTTTAACAGCTTCTAAAGTTTATTGGGATAGTATATTATTTGATTAATAATTTTATTATTCTGGCAAAACATGTGTATGTTTTTATATGAATTAATATTATTTCATATTTAAAAGCTATTTATTTTAAATAACAAATCAATTTTTTTACCTAATCCAAATCAAATACCAAATGTTGAAATAAAAATGTTAGAGGCTCTTTAAAACTGGTAAATTTTGTAAATTGTAACTTTTGGCTCTTCCGTCTCAAAAGGTTGCCGACCCCTGCTATAGGGAGTAGTACATTTCAGATTTGTTAAAAAGTCATAACTGATGTAGAAGAAATACTGGAATTACTAACAAACATCTCCTTCCCGAGACTCCTCTAACTTCACAAATCTAGTGTAACATGTAAGCCCACAATTATTCACATTTCATGCTATCAACAAGGGGTCATCCATTTATGACGTCCACACGCGGGGGGGGGGGGGGTGTCCGAAAAAAATTGACTTTTGTGGACGCATATGGACTTGTATAAGGATTTTTGTGTGTGTGGGGGGGGGGGGGGTCCAAAATCCAGAAAAATTGTGGACGTCATAAATGGATGACCCTCAATTCCAAGTGCAAAAATGACCGTGTAGAATTCACAGCCAAAACTACACTTATCTCTCAATTAACAGCAGGCTTCTCTTACAAATACTCACATTATTAAAGATCACACCTTCCCCCTCCCCATCTATCATTCTATAGCTGAATCAATTTTTATTTATGTCAATCAGGTTTCTCTCAAATACCACACAAATTCTACAGCAGGAGCCACACTTGCCCTTCATTTAAAATTCCTATCCAATGCCACAACCAAACATACATTTATTAGTCATTCAATGACAGGGTTTTCTAACATTCCCTTTCTTAGAGCTCAAAAAAAAAAATCACACAGCTAATCTACATTTATCCCTCATACATGTAACATTAAAAGCTTTTCTCACACACCCTTTCATCTGTAACAAATCACACACTTATCCCTCATACATTTAAAGGACAGGCTTTTCTCACATTCCCTTATACAATCACACACATTCCTAACAAATACAGCTGAATCTACACACATCCCTTATTCATTAAAAGGACATGCATGTGTCATGTTCAATGTCTACCAGACTTTTTTTCTCCGGGGGGGGGGGGGGCACTTGAAATTTTCGGGGAGGGGGGTAGACTTTCTTCGGGGGGGGGGGGGGCGGACACTGTTAAAAATATATTTTTCCTATATAAAATATATAAATTTCGTTCGGGGGGGGGGGGGGGGGGGGGCGGCGGTAGAATTTTTTCGCCCCCCCCTCCCGAAGAGATGCCTGGAAGAAACTGGTCACGTTCCCTTAAATCCCTAACGAATCCCACAGTCAATCTACACTTATCCCTCATACATTAAAAGGACATGCTTCTCTCACATTCCCTCACACAAGCATACACATTCCTAACAAATCCCACAGCTGAATCTACACTTATCCTTCATATATGCCAGGTTTCTGTCACATTCTCCAGTGTCGGCCCAACTTGAGCAGTGTGTGTTGCTGTCAATACAAGCCCCAGTTGTAGCGGGCGATGGCGTAGGATCCGCTTCCAATGGTTTATCTGAGTACACAGGATATTATATGGTCAGTCAAAAGCAAATAATGGAACTTATGGGTAAGGGGGTCGTCCATAAAGGACGTCACACTTGTAGGGAGGAGTCCGTAATTTTGTGACGGTGTGTCATGAGGGGGGGGGGGGGTGTCAGATGGTGTGTCGTTACACTTTTGTAATATAAAAAAAGGCTATGTTGGAATACGAGTTTTAGCCGTTATTTCGCGTTTTAGAAAATTGTAATGGAAATTGATTAAAATACTTTATGTTGACAGTTTGGAGAAACATGGATGTTTTAAGAAAAATTCAACTGCAATTTTGAGGGGAGGGGGGTATAGACTGAGGTGTAATGTTATTTTAGGCAGGAGGGGGGGGGGGGCTGGCTTTTTGTGACGATTTGAGGTAAAAATCGTCAAATAGAAGCGTAACGTTATTTATGAATGATCCCTAAAGAGCATAATAGCTAACCCGAAAGTCTCGAGTTCACCAGAAATCCTGTAAATACATGTTGCGACTAGGGTTGCCAGATACCTTTTTCCGAAAATACTGGACACCTTTCCATCCTTCCCTTCTCAGGTATGCCGCAAAGCAGAAGAAGGGGGGGGGGGGGTAACAGAGTATTATTCATATACTTGTCCAGTATTTATATTTATTTTATCCTTGACAGTCTGCTCAAATACTGGACTGTCCAGTTCAAAACTGGACACCTGGCAACCCTATTTGCGACCAACGCTTCTATTTTTGCGTTATTTCTTGTCGGGTCTGCTGGCTCTTATCAACAGTGTTTCACACGGGGGAAATATTATATTTGTGGGTCAAAAACAGCTGTTTTGTGTTTTAAAAGCCAGATGCACTATCTTTAAATTGTGGAAAAACTATAGGTAACTATATATTATACTGGCCACACCATCTCTAATTGAGTTGTGACAGGGGTCAATTCCCCTCACCAGAGGCGTAGCGACCCTTCCCGGCGCCCGGGGACAAACTTTTCGATTTGCACCCCCCCCCTCAAGATTTCGATTTGCACCCCCCTCAAACTTTCGATTTGCACCCCGCCCTCGATATTTCCATTTGCACCCCCCCCCTCAAACTTTCAATTTGCACCCCCCCCCCCCTCGAGATTTCCATTTGCACCCCCCCCCCCTCAAACTTTCGATTTACACCCCCCTCAACCTTTCAATTTATTTTTCCAACCCATTTTGGCGCCCCCTAAGGTCGGCGCCCGGGGACATATGTCCCCCCAACCCCCCCCCCCCCCCCTCGCTACGCTACTGCCCCTCACCCCTGTATATCACAGCTCGTTCAAGCCTTACAATAAACCTAACCCTAACTGACTCATTTCAGTTGTATTCATCCCAAACAGTGTCGTGTTTCCCACTTTGCCGGTAATATGTAGGCCTGTATAAATTATTCGAGTGAGAGACGGGTAATTATCACGGGGAGTAATTGATAAGGTGTAATGGCAGGAGCTAATCACCATGGGGTAATTGACAGGGTATTGTTTTAGACCCGCTCTTACCACGATGTCCATCTTATCTAAGGGGTCGTCCTCGAAGGGAGGGGGAGGGGGGGGGGTCCGTAATTTTGTGACGGTGTGTGATGAGGGGGAGTTCAGATGGTGTGACGTCACACTTTAGAGTTATAAAAAGCAATGTTAGAAAACGAGTTTTAGCCGTTATTTCGCGTTTTAGAAAACTGTTTTAATAAATTGATATAAGAATAGATTAAAATACTCTATGTTGACAAAGTTTTTGGAAAAATATCGATGTTTTAAGAAAAATTCAACTGCAATTTTAGGGGGGTGGGGTCTGGCTTTTTGTGGGGGAGGGGGGGGTCTGGCTTTTTGTGGGGGAGGGGGAGGTAAAAAAAATCGTCCAAAAAAGCGTGACGTCATTTATGGATGACCCCAGCAGTATAAAAAAAAAGTTTTACCACACAAATGACAGCTGACTCGGCATTCTTTCTGCATGTAGCTAGGATTCACCTGACACTCGCCTCTCACTGCCCAATCTGGACAATGGCCATTTCTGTCTTCGCAAGGCTCTAAGTGTAAAGAGAAGATTTACAGAGAGAAAATGGATATTTTGTAAATTAATTTATATAAAAATTATTGACTAAAAATAAATGCAGAGGCGTAGCTACACATTCAGGGGCGAACTATCTTATATGCGCCACATTGCAGTTGTTATTATGATGTCAGAAAATTGAAAACAGTTAAGTTAGCCAGGAAAGCCTTTTTTTTTTAAAACTTCTACTGTTTATCATTCAGTAATGCAACTAAAAATGTGTTTTTTTTAAATTATTTTCTTACCCCGTTTGAGTCCCCTTAGAGTCGACGCCCGGGGTGACCGCACCACCCGTCTCCCTCTAGCTACGCATCTGAATAAATAAAGCGCGTCACCTAATAGAAAATTGCTTGTTGGACAACATGCAAGATAGGAAGGAGCTTCAAGAAATGAGGGAGCAGAATTTTTATATTTTTTGTTCTTCTTCTTCGTTCTTAATCTTTTAGTGTTGGAAAGGATCGAGATTTATCTGCCAGAGGGTTTGAATTCGACACCTTTTTTATTCAAATTTATCAACCATGAGCTTTTTGCCGACTCGACCACGCCTCCATCACAATTAAGGATAACGTGTCAACTGGTTATACGCCATTGAGGCCATTGACTCCGATTTTAGCCTGCTTTTCTTTTTGGATTTGCTTCCATAGCCTTTGTCCAACCAAGAACACCCACAAGCCAGCAGTTGGAATTGTCTCTCCTAGAAGAGTGGCTGTCCCCAGCTAACGAGCCTCATCTGCCCGAAGGTTCGAACTCGAGACTACGGTTTAGCAACCATGAGTTTTACCGACTCGACCACGCCGACCCCTTTTGTTCGAAAATAAAAATAATAGCCAAAATTTTTCTCACAAAAGTGAAAAGTGAAAAGAAATGTAGGCCTAACCTTGTAGGTAAAAAAAAATATTTATATTTCAAAGTTCTCCGCATTTGCAATTTTTATAACATTAACATATTGAATTTCTAAACTTTTTTTCGGTACTAGGGTTTATTTTTTGTTTCCTGTCTTTTATAAATTTAAGACTCTCTAGAAAACGAAATGTGCGAAAACACGTTTTATTCCATCTCAGTTTACTCGATCAATGCCGTATTTCCACCATCTCAAATAGCGTAGGCTCAAAAATGAATTCAGGGGACACAACAAAGATATGCATCCCCTAATTCACAAAGTGTTACAAAATCATGTGAAAAAAACTTTACTTTTAAAAATGATATCTACATGAATGACAATTTTAAATTACTACATTGTTTTATTTTACTTCAAAATGGTAAATTACAATTTTATAATATAGTAATATAAAATTTATTATAGACTACCTAAAGGCAGCAAACTAATAATTTGTTTTATGATTTTTTTCCTTGTAAGATTAATTAATTAAGATTTCTTTGACATTGTTTCTTATGAACCCAACTGCAAAATTTACAGAGATAAAAAAATTTTTAAAAAAGTATTTAGATGTTTTGTATTAGAAATATGTATCAGGGGTCGGCAACCTTTTAAGACGGAAGAGCCAAAAGTTACAATTTTCAAAATTTCCCAGGTTTTAAAGAGCCACTATTTTTTTTTTTTTCAATATTTTATATTTTATTAGGATTAGGTAGATAAATATGAGTTGTTATTTAAAATAAATAGCTTCATATATGAAATAATATTTATTCATATAAAAACATACGCCTGTTTTGTCGGAATAATGAAATTAGTATTAAAAAAATAAAAATACAGGACTATCCCAATCCATTTTAGAAGCAAACTTTTTTTTTTTCTTTACGGACACCACTGGCCTCAGGAGATGTCTCCCGTTAGTCGGGCAGGTTTCAGCACCGCAAACTCCGACCAACTGGCTTGAATATTGGTTTGATTACCGTGTATCGGTCGCTTCTGTTCTTCGGCTATCATCTGACTTCCAGCCCACTGAACGCAGGGTGAACTAGTACCCCACCGCCCAGTACCCGGCTCAACAGTAGGAAGCTAATAACTAAAAAAAACTTGGACAATGGACGGATGTTAGAGCTGGGCCCGGTGCTTAAGCGGCTGTCTGTATACTTTCTACTGCACATATTTCTCAATGTTCTCTGATGAGTTTTTTCTTCTTTTTAAACTTGTGTTTCTTTACATTATAATATTTGTTATGAGTTTTGAAAATTAAATTATTTAAATATTACTTTTGTGCAAGGAGCTGGAGAGCCGCATCTTGGCATCAAAAGAGCCGCATGCGGCTCGCGAGCCGCAGGTTGCCGACCCCTGGTATAAGTAAACCATCTTAAATAAATGAAAGTAGGCTACAAGTAAGAAAGAAATATTACTATTGTAAATCTGTATCCGTCCTCACAAGCCTATGATAAAAACTGTAATACTAAAGCGAACATGCAAGTCAAACTGACGCTGTAAATTACATGTCTGAGGCGAAAAAAAAAAGAAAAAAAAGAGGGGGGTGACACCCGACCTAGCGACGCCACTGACTCATCCTACACACAAAAAAATGCCCTTCCATTTAAAAAAAAAGTTTTCCACAGAACATTTTTAGGGTGGGTCGGGGGGAGCGGACACTGTTAAACGTATATTTCTATATAAATTCAATTTCGTTCGGGACCGGAGGGGGCGGTAGACTTTCTTCGGAGACCCCCACCCCGATTTGTCCCGAAGAGATGCCTGGAAGAAACACTGATGGCAAGGCAAACTGACGCCCTCCCTCATAATTAGGGTTGCCAGGTGTCCAGTTTTGAACTGGACAGTCCAGTATTTGAGCAGACTGTCCAGGATAAAATAAATATAAATACTGGATAAGTATATGAATAATACTCTGTTACCCCCCCCCCCCTTCTTCTGCTTTGCGGCATACCTGAGAAGGGAAGGATGGAAAGGTGTCCAGTATTTTCGGAAAAGGTATCTGGCAACCCTACTCATAACCTTCCTTACCTGGTGTAAACTTGGGAAGTTTGAACTGATATTCCCGCGTTAAATCACAGTCCATCTGTAGGACTTGCTCCCTCTCCAGCTCTGGGGATATCATTCAAAAATCATAGAATCTCCAACTATCAAAATTTAGTTTTAAATCGATTTTTACAATTACAACTTGATTACCAACTAACAAACTAATTACCTCGGCTAGCCGCACTACTTCGTCCACCCCCCCACCCGCAAACAAGAGCTTTTTTTTTTATTGTCGCATTTAAATTAAACATTTTCTTGATGTTGAGCAGCGTTTCTTTAAGGTCTCTGCGATGGAAGAGAGGAGGGGGGGGGGGAGAGCTTGGAGTGCCCACCTCATCCCAGACAAAAAAAAATGCGTAATTTATTATTGAAAATATATACTTTAACCAGTGCCCCCCCCCCCCCCCACCACCACCATACGGAAATTTTCCAAGAGCCCACCTGAGAAAAATAACAGAAAGAAACCCTGGCTCTGCTAAACCATTGTTAAAGGGCCGTTCACAATACAAGACTCCTATGTACGTGAGGCGAATGCCTATATACCCCACACTTCGCACAATTTCTCACGAGGATTATAATTCTCATCATCGTCACGTGATATTCTGGTTAAGGGGGCCACTTCAGCTGTCAAAAAAAAATTCTATTTGATGTTGCATAAGCGCTGTTACACAGCGACTCCTGGTTTAGATGTCAGTAGCTTCCCCTTGTCCTGTTAGGTAGCCCATCCATCAACGCGAGAGTTACCTGCCCTTGTTGAGAAATCTGCGCACAACTTAGAAAGGTAATGAAACGAAATTTTAAAGTCACGCAACGACTAGGCTAGGACTCTCTGGCTGACTTGTCAAGAAATACCTCGTTGTAACACAGGAATAACTTGTAGCATAGATATATCGTGTAACAAAGGAGTATCTCGTTACACGGGAATACCTTAAACAAAGGAAATAACGTGTAAACAAGAAATACCCTATAACAAAGAAAACACATTGTAACAAAGAATTATCATGTAACAAAGAAAGAAATTCCTTGCGACGCAGAAATAACTAGATACACAGAAATACCGTGTAACAAAGGGATATCTCGTAACAAAGAAATACATTAAAAACAAGAAACACCTTGTAACAAAGAAATAACGTGTTCCAAAAATCCTTTGAAACACAGAAATAACTAGTAACAAAGAAATACCGGGTAACAAAGGAATATCTCGTAACAAAGAAATACCTTGTTACAAAGAAATACCATGTAACAAAGAAATAACTTGTTACAAAAAAATCCTTTGAAACACAAAAATAACTAGTAACAAAGAAATACCTTGTAACAAAGGAATATCTCGTAACAAAGAAATACCTTGTAAGAGAGAAATGCCATGTAACAAAAAAAAACACCATGTTTAAGGCTTACCACAGACATTTCATGTTGTAACACAGAATTACAGGGTTGTACAAAGAAATATCATGTTTTGACATATAAATAACATTTGTTATTATTACAAAGAAATACAAACATATGTGCTACCTCCGTATATGTTTACTAGCTGCATCCCGTGCTCCGCCACGGTAAATCTTTTTTAAATGTACCAACTTGGGAACAGCCAGAACAAAACTAAACACAACACAAACGAACGCAAAAAAAAAAAAAAACGAAAAAACAAACACAACACTCATAACATAAACACAATTTAAATGCAATCATAAAGGCATATTGCTCACAGTCTAGCCCGTAGCGCCAAAATCGCGCCCTTTCCACCCCCCTCAAACTTTCGATTTGCATCCCTTTCCCCCCCCCCCCCCCCGCCCTAAAACTTTCGATTTCCACCCCCCCCCCCCCCTCGCAAATTTTTTCCAATGCACTTTGGCGCCCCCTAAGGTCGGCACCCGGGGACATATGCCCCCCTCGCTACGCCTCTCCTATAAAACCCGAAAGATAGAATAATAATTAGAAAACAGTATAAATAATAGGCAGTATTTAAAATATCCGTGTTTTACCTACAATATTTCACTTTATCCATTCACGCATTTTTTTCCAGTACTTTAAATTTTAAAAATTTACAATAGAGTTTCATAACTAAAACCATTGCGCACCTAATGAACGTGATGCCGCGTCTATAATAGTGCTGAATAGTTGATTAAAAATTATAAGTAATAAACAATAGGGCCTATATTCAGTGAATAAAATAAATAAAAGATTGCCTTTTATCAATCCATGCTAATTATAATTTTCTAACAATAATTTCCTCTTACACATCCACATAATTTGCATTCACATTTTGCTAATTATATTATTGCAACACTAATTCCTTCTAGGACGTCCGTAGATTTGCATTCACATTTTTTTTTATTAGCGTGAGTTAAATTTATTTTTAAATTACCTCCTTTGTCAAAAGTAGAAAAGAGTTAAATTCATTTGATTTTTCTAGCCTACAGTTATTATGTTATTAAAATGTATCCACTTTTTCTAGGAATATTAACGAAAACTATATTTGACATTGATCCTTTTAATATGTTTTAGCAATGTGCGTGTATTTAATATTCTCTTTACGTTATGCAAAATTGTACAAACAGTGGAAATTATAAAATAGCTCTATGCCGCTATATAAACAAACCCTACTCTAATACTTATAATAAGACACTGCGGTGCACTGAAAAGCACTTCATGGCGCGATGTTTACTTTTATGGTTCCAAAAGCTATAGCGATGACGGAAGGAAGGAAGGAAGGAAGGACTGACACACTACCAGCAGCGTTATATTATAGATGGTGTTCAGACGATGTCTAAGTTAAATGTTCAATGTCTACTTAATATCCAACCTATGTTTATGGTGCCCTTAAAATGTCCAACTTATGTTTATAGTGCTTTCAGAATGCCAAACCTATGTTTATAGGGCCCTTAGAATGTCCAACCAATGTTTATAGTGCCTTCAGGATGTCCAACCAATGTTTATAATGCCCTCAGAATGCCGAACCTATGTTTATAATACCCTCAGAATGTCCAACCAATGTTTATAATGCCCTCAGAATGTCCAGCCAATGTTTATAGTGCCTTCAGGATGTCCAACCAATGTTTATAGTGCCCTCAGAATGCCGAACCTATGTTTATAATACCCTCAGAATGTTCACACTTTGTTATAAAGTGCCTTCAAACCAATGTTTATAATGCCCAAAGTTCGTTTTATTTATCCTTCCAACAATAATGTTGTTAACCGAAGCTACACAAACATTTGAGTTGTTATTAGATTTTCCCACTGTTAGAAGTATAAAATTTAGCGTTATGGAATGGCTTAGGATTATGGCATTGGCGGCACCAGGTTGGGTGACAACCGATGCAGCAACTGAGGGTGTCAATCCCCCCCCCCCCTCTCCAAATATTTGCATTTTCGGTTTGGTGTCAGTCATACCACTACTATTTTATTATTTTTAACTAGATTAAATATTGCTTTAACGGTAAATATTTCGATTTTTCGATTGGTGTCACCCCTGATTGGTATCACCCGATGAGTACCCCACCCGCACCCTCCCCCCTACTTTTGATCTCCCGGATTATATTTATAACTACTGTTAGAAACGAAGATGCTGAATTTCCGTGGTTTTAAGTAGCCACAAATCGTGCTCGATGGCAAAATGTCTTCTTGTCTCTGTGCTCTCCGGAGAATGGAAAACAATTTGAATAGGAATAACCTAAAATTTTCCTTTTAAAGACGAATTTTCGAAGCCTTTTGAACATTTGTAAAAAAAAAAACTTCACAAAATCCTCGGCAGTAGCGTCGCTAGGTCGGGTGTCACAGGTGCGGCACTTCGTGGTGTCGTCCCTCCCCCAAAGAGATAATATATATATATATATATATATATATATATATATATATATATATATATATATATATATATATATATATATATATATATATATATATATATATATATATATATATATATATATTTATATTTATATATATATAACTAAATTCTAAATTTGTACTAACAATTATTAATGGGACAGGAAAAAAGCATTTTTCTTCTCAAAATTTGGCAATTCTTTGCCTTGGTGTCACCCCCCCCCCCCCCCTAAATGTTGACACCAGGTGCGGTCCGCACCCCCGCCCCGCCCTAGCTACGCCTCTGATCCTCCGTAATATCGACGCCCGTGCCAGCTTGTAGAAATAATTGCCATCTACTTACCGGGGCTGGATCTGCATCTGTCTATGTAGGTGTTGTTGCACGGGTACATGAGCGCAATCAGCCGATAGAGATCCGGATCGTAGTCTCGAAATTTCTCGGGCGTGTCAATGGGACCGTGAATTCCATCCGGTGGATCGCTGTGGGCGTTGACGTGATAAAAGATCTGAGCGCCTTCCGCCTGAGGAAACAAGGCTCTGGTTAAACGCAGTTTCTTCCAGGCATCTCTTCTGGGGGGGGGGGGGGGGCGAAAGCCCCCAAAAATTTGTTACCGCCCCCCCCCCCCTGAACGAAATGAAATTTATATAATTTATATAGAAAATATATACTTTTAACAGTGTCCCCCCCCCCCCGAAGAAAGTCTACCGCCCCCCCCCCCCGAAAATTCCAAGTTCCCCCCCCCCCCCCCCGGAGAAAAAAGTCTGGAAGAAGCACTGGTTAAACGTGGTATAGTCTCGTGTAGTCGCTACCTAGGCGCAAAATTTTTAATAGCTATTAGGGGGTCGTCCATAAATGACGTCACACTCGTAGGGGGGAGGGGGGGGGGGGGCGTAATTATGTGACGGTGTGTGATGAGGGGGAAGGGGGGGGGGGTTCAGATGGTGGGACGTCACATTTTTGCATTAACAAAAAGTAATGTTAGAAAACGTTTTAGAAACTGTTTTAATAAATTGTAATAGGAATTGATTAAAATACTCTATTTTGACAGAGTTCAGACAAGATTTTTGAAAAAATATAGATGTTTTAAGAAAAATTCAACTGCAATTTCGAGGGGGGATTGTAGGCTGAGGTGTGACGTCATTTTAGGGGGGGGGGGGCTCTGGCTTTTTGTGTAAAAATCGTCAAAAAAAGCGTGACGTCATTTATGGATGACCCCTTATCAAAAAGTACCCAATCTTCTTCTTCTTCGTCGTCGTTCTTAATTATTAGTGTTGGAAGGGATCGAGTCTTATCTGCCAGAGGGTTTGCACTCGAGGCTTTTATTTTCGAATTTATCAACCATGAGCTTTTGCCGACTCGACCACAATTAAGTATACGTGTCAACTGGTTATGCGCCATTTCAGCCTGCTTTTCTTTTTGGATTTGCTTCCATAGCCTTTGTCCAACCAAGAACACTACAATGCAGCAGTTGTTTGATTTTGTCCCCAGCTAACGAGCCTCATCTGCCCGAGAGTTCAAACTCGAGACTTTTCGGTTTAGCAACCGACTCGACCACGCCAACCCCTAAAGTACCTAATAATTATAACTTTTATAAAGGAGTAGCGATCTATTTCGGCACCCAGGACGAACTATCGATTTTGCACCCCCAACCCAAAATTAGGTCCATATAGGCCGATATTTATTCACTATGGTGAAAATTCAACCCCACCTCTCTATTTTGGAAAGGTCGGGGCGCTTTTTACCAGTCACTTTGTCTTTTTAATTTGGTGTCACATAATTAATGTAGAAAACGATTAAATAAGTTCGTTATTTAAATTTCGAACATTTCAAAAGGTTATCTAATTTTAATATGGCATGTAAGTCTCGTTTTCTCTGACTTTGAATTAGAAATCCTTTCTGGTGTACAGAGTTTAGTAATGACGGGGTGTTCAAAGTATTGTACTTGTTTGGTAAGTTTTGATGAATCGTTTAGATTTGGGAGTAACGGCGGAAGCTGTTGCTGATATGATTTCATGGTAGGCCTATAAAGTACCGAAGTGTTAAAGTGTCATAATTTTTATTCGGCTGTTTTGTAGTTGAGGTCTAATGGAATTTGATTGGTAATAGAGAAATGAGAATGCAGGTGACGAAGTATCGTAGTTCTGGAGTTCGGGAGTTCGGGAGCATTGATTCTTGTGGTTTTAAGGTATCGAATTATATTGACTGTTAAAGTGTAGTAGTAGGTCCAGTGAAATCGTTGTTGATTGGGAGTACCGTTTGTAGAGCTTGGTGAAGTTAAACGAGTAAAGGCGGAGGGCTGTTGCTGATATGATTTGGTAGGTAGGCCTATAAAGTACCGAAGTGTTAAAGTGTCATAATTTTTATTCGGCTGTTTTGTAGTTGAGGTCTAATGGAATTTGATTGGTAATAGAGAAATGAGAATGCAGGTGACGAAGTATCGTAGTTCTGAAGTTCGGGAGTATTGATTCTTGTGGTATTAAGGTATCGAACTATATTGACGGTTAAAGTGTAGTAGTAGGTCCAGTGAAATCGTTGTTGATTGGGAGTACCGTTTGTAGAGCTTGGTGAAGTTAAACGAGTTGGTGTCGTAGTTCTGGAACATCGAGTCTAGTTATGTTTAGGGATCGAAGTTTGATATGTGTTGTGAATGTAGTAGAGCATATCGAGTAGTCGAGTTTATCGTAAGTTAGATGATTTCAATTCAGTACGGAACACACTACAAAGAAAGGTAATTGAAAAATCTTTAGTTTTTTAGGAATCTATATTACCAATCTTAAAGTATTAATATATAATATAAAATAGGATGGAATTTATAACTAATCGCAATGTTTGTTTTGTCAAATTGTAATTTGTTTTATATGTAATCAATAATTCTAGCAATGTCCGAAACAGTTACCCGTTTTTGATTTTCTAAACGACGTCCCTTTATTTAGGGGATCCAAAATTTGATGTGCTCAGCACTATAACCAGCTGCAATAATATGAATGTCATCATTCATCAAAATAAAATAGAAGTATGTTATAATAAAGCTACCGTTTTTAAAACAAAACCTACACTTAAGTATTCAATAGATAAAATATATTGTTTTCACAAGGTTACATAGCTAATATAAAATATTTGATATAATTATTACGTAATAAAATTTAGAGCGTTTTATTGTGTTTTTCAAACATGTCTTAGTTACACTTTGTTAATTTAGCTATTATTGTGCGTTATTTCCCTTGAATAAAATTTTGGGATTTGGATTTTCAAATGGGAGATAATTCATTGCTTAACTTTACATTCCTTTCAAATTCCTGAACCTTAGGTTGACCACTTACATATTAATACAACAATAAGTTATTATTTGCTACTGTAAAAATTATCTAGAGCTTTAAGTTCTAAACAAAATAGTTTGGTAGGTATTTTTAACATTATCAAGTTAAAAAACAAATACATCAGTAGCCGTTGTAGATTGCAATACTTAATGTTAGTAGACATACAGTCTTAGCCGTAAATTAAACATCTAATTGTCTTTTCATATTTTTCACCCTTTCCTTAATGAATTCATATATAACAATTTTAGGCTGGAACGTATAATATTTATAACCTTTTATTTTTCAAAAACAAAAAAAAAAATCGTTACATAATCACACAATATAGACATTCTACATTTATAACTAAAGACAGTCAAGCTTAAAATAGGTACGTTCCGTTTCGGAACTCTCATTGGGAGAGCTGTAGAGAGCCCAACACAACAAGAACTTTTTTTTTCAGTCCACTTAAAATTTTCTAGGGGGGGGGGGCTTGTTGAAAAGTACAAAGTAGACTCGTTGACTTAGCAACAATTTCAATTAAATGTAATTACGCTTGCAAACTGGAATTGAAGGAATTAGTACACACTTTTGAGACGAAGGAGGCAAGTAAAATTTGATTTTGATGTCTAATTATAACGTGTATGCAATTGATAATAAATTAATATGACACTTTTTATTAATTGTTTTGTTATACATATGTTTTAGTAATTAATGTGTGTGAAAGGGGGCGTTTTAATAAGTTTTACCTAGGGCGCTAAATAACCTGGCGCCGGCACTGGGTGTAGTGTTTGGTTGAACGTCAGAGACAAGAAGGCTTTTGTATGTTAAACAATATACACAGGGTGTCCATAAAGTCTTTAGGGGCATGTTCAGGAAAAAATAAAAGATAAATTAGTTCCTCAGAGGCGTAGCGAGGGGGGGGGCACATATGTCCCCTGGCGCCGACCTTAGGGGGCGCCAAAATGGGCTGGAAAAATAAATTGAAAGCTTGAGGGGGTTGCAAATCGAAAGTTTGAGGGGGGGTGCAAATCGAAAGTTTGAGGGGGGGGGGTGCAAATCGAAATCTTTGGGGGGGGGGGTGCAGATCGAAAGCTTGAGGAGGGGTGAAAATCGAAAGTTTGTCCCCGGGAAGGGTCGCTACGCCTCTGCGTTGCCTAGCAGAAGTTTGGCAAGAAAGCTTCGAATTCGAATCCGAGATCAAGTCAGGACCCGCGCGATATTTTCACCTAATGGATTTCGTTTCACAAGGTTCATCCATTGTCTCCCGAGGCGAGAACGATATTTTCACCTAATGGATTTCGTTTCAACAAGGTTCATCCATTGTCTCCCGAGGCGAGAACGATATTTTCACCTAATGGATTTCGTTTCACAAGGTTCATCCATCGTCTCCCGAGGCGAGAACGATATTTTCACCTAATGGATTTCGTTTCAACAAGGTTCATCCATTGTCTCTCGAGGCGAGAACGATATTTTCACCTAATGGATTTCGTTTCACAAGGTTCATCCATTGTCTCCCGAGGCGAGAACGATATTTTCACCTAATGGATTTCGTTTCACAAGGTTCATCCATCGTCTCCCGAGGCGAGAACGATATTTTCACCTAATGGATTTCGTTTCACAAGGTTCATCCATTGTCTCCCGAGGCGAGAACGATATTTTCACCTAATGGATTTCGTTTCACAAGGTTCATCCATCGTCTCTCGAGACGAGAACGATATTTTCACCTAATGGATTTCGTTTCACAAGGTTCATCCATTGTCTCTCGAGGCAAGAACGATATTTTGACCTAATTGATTTCGTTTCAACAAGGTTCATCCATTGTCTCCCAAGGCGAGAACGATATTTTCACCTAATAGATTTCGTTTCACAAGGTTCATCCATGATCTCCCGAGGCGAGAACGATATTTTCACCTAATGGATTTCGTTTCACAAGGTTCATCCATCGTCTCCCGAGGCGAGAACGATATTTTCACCTAATGGATTTCGTTTCACAAGGTTCATCCATTGTCTCACGAGGCGAGAACGATATTTTCACCTAATGGATTTCGTTTCACAAGGTTCATCCATCGTCTCCCGAGGCGAGAACGATATTTTCACCTAATGGATTTCGTTTAACAAGGTTCATCCATCGTCTCCCGAGGCGAGAACGATATTTTCACCTAATGGATTTCGTTTCACAAGGTTCATCCATCGTCTCCCGAGGCGAGAACGATATTTTCACCTAATGGATTTCGTTTCACAAGGTTCATCCATTGTCTCTCGAGGCAAGAACGATATTTTCACCTCATGGATTTCGTTTCACAAGGTTCATCCATTTTCTCTCGAGGCAAGAACGATATTTTCACCTAATGGATTTCGTTTCACAAGGTTCATCCATTTTCTCTCGAGGCGAGAACGATATTTTCACCTAATGGATTTCGTTTCACAAGGTTCATCCATCGTCTCTCGAGGCGAGAACGATATTTTCACCTAATGGATTTCGTTTCACAAGGTTCATCCATTGTCTCCCGAGGCGAGAACGATATTTTCACCTAATGGATTTCGTTTCAACAAGGTTCATCCATTGTTTCCCGAGGCGAGAACGATATTTTCACCTAATGGATTTCGTTTCACAAGGTTCATCCATTGTCTCTCGAGGCGAGAACGATATTTTCACCTAATGGATTTCGTTTCACAAGGTTCATCCATTGTCTCTCGAGGCGAGAACGATATTTTCACTTAATGGATTTCGTTTCACAAGGTTCATCCATTGTCTCTCGAGGCGAGAACGATATTTTCACCTAATGGATTTCGTTTCAACAAGGTTCATCCATTGTCTCCCGAGGCGAGAACGATATTTTCACCTAATGGATTTCGTTTCAACAAGGTTCATCCATTGTCTCTCGAGGCAAGAACGATATTTTCACCTAATGGATTTCGTTTCACAAGGTTCATCCATCGTCTCTCGAGGCAAGAACGATATTTTCACCTAATGGATTTCGTTTCACAAGGTTCATCCATCGTCTCTCGAGGCAAGAACGATATTTTCACCTAATGGATTTCGTTTCACAAGGTTCATCCATCGTCTCTCGAGGCAAGAACGATATTTTCACCTAATGGATTTCGTTTCACAAGGTTCATCCATCGTCTCTCGAGGCAAGAACGATATTTTCACCTAATGGATTTCGTTTCACAAGGTTCATCCATCGTCTCTCGAGGCAAGAACGATATTTTCACCTAATGGATTTCGTTTCACAAGGTTCATCCATCGTCTCTCGAGGCAAGAACGATATTTTCACCTAATGGATTTCGTTTCACAAGGTTCATCCATCGTCTCTCGAGGCAAGAACGATATTTTCACCTAATGGATTTCGTTTCACAAGGTTCATCCATCGTCTCTCGAGGCAAGAACGATATTTTCACCTAATGGATTTCGTTTCACAAGGTTCATCCATCGTCTCTCGAGGCAAGAACGATATTTTCACCTAATGGATTTCGTTTCACAAGGTTCATCCATCGTCTCTCGAGGCAAGAACGATATTTTCACCTAATGGATTTCGTTTCACAAGGTTCATCCATCGTCTCTCGAGGCAAGAACGATATTTTCACCTAATGGATTTCGTTTCACAAGGTTCATCCATCGTCTCTCGAGGCGAGAAAAACAAACCTTACAAGCCTGATATTCCATGGTGCAGGTAAAGTAGAGTATACCTGTTTCAGTGACCTCGGCATATAAAGAAATAATGTGATCAGTTCTATGCAAGGCGAAAAGAATCCATACAATCCTATAGATCTATCTGGTTTTACTATATTAAATGCAGTTATGGTTGGCGTTTGAGTATCAATATGAGCTAGATTAGAGGGTGTTACGGGTCATTTGAGGTCAGGTTAGAATAGGTTAGAATAGTCTCGAACTTAGGGGGGAGTGCGTGTGTGAGTTGAGTTCACCCTACTGTGTAGTAACCCCCGTGTGTTATGTATGGTTATCCCAAGATCGAATGCGGTATAAAAGCTGGAGTGAATGGTTGTCAGGGGTTGGTTGGTAGCGGTTAGGACGAGGGCTGCTCTGGAATGTATATATTTGAGACGGAATAAAAGTAGTGAACGTAGTAACGAAGCGTTGTTGTTTATCTGAAACTAACCTGGACGTAACAGATGGGATGCTGATCAAATAATAAAACGGCTTCAATATAAACACCTACCAGGACCTATCAAGTTGGCTGTAGTGGGGGTGGGGGGGGGGGAGAACGAATAAAACAGCTTTAACATACACCAACTAGGTCCTATCAGGATGGCTGTAGTGGGGTGGGGGGGGGGGGGGGGGGAGAACGAATACAACAGCTTTAACATACACCTACTAGGTCCCATCAAGATGGCTGTAGAAGGGGGGGGAGAACGAATACAACAGCTTTAACATACACCTACTAGGTCCCATCAAGATGGCTGTAGAAGGGGGGGGGGGAGAACGAATACAACAGCTTTAACATACACCTACTAGGTCCCATCAATAAGGCTGTAGTGGGGTGGGGGGGGGGGGGAGAACGAATACAACAGCTTTAACATACACCTACTAGGTCCCATCAATAAGGCTGTAGAAGGGGAGGGGGTAGAACGAATACAACAGCTTTAACATACCCACCTACCAGGTACTCCTGGGACGACTGAAGGCTGTATGTGTTTGACCAGCGTCCAGACCTATTGGCCGCCTTAAAGAAGCGGTCAAGGTCTCGTTGAAAGCCGGGGATGGCGTACTTGGCCCCGAGAAGGTGAAGGCCATGCGTCAGCTCGTGCAGGAAAATGTCCTCGTGCTCGTACCGGTCTCGGTGAAATCTTTAAGAGAGGAGGAATGAAATGTAAGGAGTAGTAAAACAAAATGGCGTCAGGCGGAAGAGATAGGGTTTAGAAAAATTTTAATGTGCGTCGTAAGGAAGGAATGAAAGGTTAAAGGTAAGTAACGAACAAATATTTAAAAACTAAAAACAATGAAAAACATGAATTAAGGTACTGCACAATCACAACCTGGCACCACAAAGCTCCCACTAAAGAAAGGTCGTGATGTAACACTCTGTTTTAGTATCAGGCGTAACAGAAGCAAAGTTTCTTTCTCAAGCATCTCCCTGGGGGCACCCCCACCGCTCACGCCCTCCCACCCCCAACCGGGACGAAACAGAAAAATTTAGAAGAAAATAGTTACATTAACACACCCGGAGACGTTTCAAACGCCCCTCCCCCAGAAGTTTTAAGTAGCCCCCCCCCCTCCTGAAATTTAACCCCTCCCCCCTGGAAGTTTCAAATGCCTCTCCCAGAAGTTTCAAATACCCCCCCCCTCAAATGTCTGAAAGAACCCTGTATATAACCATATCACAATGACTTTAACTCTAATCAAGCTTAGAATTAACAAAGACCCAATCGGAACATCAAACATAGCACTCGGGTTAGGAACCAACATTGAACCACCAACATTATCACACAATCAACACAAATACCAGCAGAAGTGAACCAAAATCAACATTGAAACAACAGTATCACCCAATCAACACAATCACCAGCAGAAGTGAACCAAAATCAACATTGAACCGCCAACATGATCACACAATCGACACAATTACCAGCAGAAGTGAACCAAAATCAACATTGAAACAACATCACACAATCAACACAAATACCAGCAGAAGTGAACCAAAATCAACAGTGATACAACATTATCACACAATCAACACAAATACCAGTGAACCAAAATCAACAGTGAAACAACATTATCACACAATCAACACAAATACCAGCAGAAGTGAACCAAAATCAACATTGAACCAACATTATCACACAATCAACACAATCACCAGCAGAAGTGAACCAAAATCAACATTGAACCAACATTATCACACAATCAACACAATCAGCAGCAGAAGTGAACCAAAATCAACATTGATACAACATTATCACACAATCAACACAATCACCACCAGAAGTGAACCAAAATCAACATTGAACCACCAACATTATCACCCAATCAACACAATCACCAGCAGAAGTGAACCAAAATCAACATTGAAACAACTTTATCACACAATCAACACAATCACCAGCAGAAGTGAAACCCAACTCACACGTAGCACAGCAAATTTTCCTCAGCTCCAGACGACAACGGCACCGTTTCTGTCGCGCCCAGACCACGTGACCTATCGTTCCATTCGTCCGGCAGGAAGCTGTACTCCGGAATGGCCGTGACCTTCTCCCTCCAGCCGATAACCGCCACCCGACCGTAGAGCTTGTAGTACAGGTACCTCAGTCCGGAGTGTCCGGCTAGCAGGAACCGTAGAACGTAGCACGCGCGTTTTAGTGCGTCATCACTCACCTGACCGCTGCCTAGAACATAGGTAGAGTTGTTTTTTTTTTCAATTGACGAAAATTGAAATGCTAACGAAGGCCTTGTGTCGAAACGTCGAATGTAATGTCTTTAATGAGTGAGGTTTAGGTTTGTAAACAGACACACAACGCGGTTACCATTTCCCATTTAAAGTAGCTACTTTTTCGGACTGTCGATGGGACAGGTGAAGTAGAGTTTACCTGTTTCTATGTCCTCGGAATATGAAGAAATAATGTTGCGAGTTCTATGAAAAACCGTATTTACTTCACCTAACGTGAGCCCGGAATTCGAACTCCAAACTTTTCAGTCCGAGGGCCGCATTAACTATCAAATTTCAGTTCGGGGGCCAGTTTCTTCCAGGCATGTCTTTGATTTTTCTGGGCAAAGTTCCTCAGCCATCACCAACAAACGGTTTTTCCGTGGACAAAAAGATCTCCGCGGGCCGGATGAGAGGACATCGCGGGCCGCATCCGGCCCGCGGGCCGTAGTTTGGAGACCCCCTGCGCTAGACCTACGACAGTAATTTACTTTTGTTTTTCGATAGTACGACGACACAATATGGAAGAATGCCCTGCTGAGGGGAGGGGGGGGGGGGGGGGTACTCGTATATATAGCATATCCACCTCTAAATATTCATCCTGGGGGAGGACAGTAGAACATGAGGCAAGGACTGCTTACAGTGTTTCTTTCAGACTTTCTTTACGGAGGCACTTGAAACTGAAAGATATTAGAGGCTGTCGGGCTTACGTGAGCCAATCAAAACCGAGACCGATGGTGAGATGGGGCGGTAAACCTTTGCTCCTCAGGGACCACAAAGCAATAAGTCAAGTATAAATATCCACATTCGCGCCCGACTGACTTAGTACATAAGATCAGAGGCGTAGCGGGGGGGGGTACATATGTCCCCTGGCGCCGACCCTAGGGGGCGCCAAAATTAGTTGAAAAAAAAAATTGAAAACTCATTTTAGCTGCAGTTTTGCATTATAAATATAATAAATATATGGGGGGTAGGGGGTGGGGGCGCCAAATTGAAAGTTTGTCCCCCGGGCGCCGGGAAGGGTCGCTACGCCTCTGCATAAGATACTCCATTTTTAGCCAAGACAAGACATTGGATAATAAATTATTAAACATTTAATCAGAGTATGTTGTTGTCTTATTAACTAAGTAAACAAACGAAGGAGGTCGTGAAATTATCTGATTGCGTTAATTAAGAGTGCAGCTCACGTATATCAAGTATCTAAAGCGTTCTCAGTATCTAAACTCTAACGCATTGTAATATCCTAAAATATATTTTAATTTAAAAAAATAACACTTACCTATAACAGGTATACCGTAAGCTTCGGTGTATTTCTTGTAAAAGGGGGAAATTCCCGAGGGTCTCATGACCCACCCCCATCTCAAGGTCGTGGGGACGCTCCTGACCAGGTCACACGAATGTTTTCTACTGGGCAGACCTGACCTGTGGCCGTAAGGTGCGGGGTGATTGGCCAGGAATTTTGCCAGTTTTTGGTGGCCAAGCAGGGCCAAATTACCGGCAGGTCTAGATGTCGTCACGCCTATGCAAATAAATTTCACAACCGACTGTATAGAGGACAAATGCAGTATGTCCAAAAAACATAATCTCGGGAAAAATAGGTTTAAAAATATCATTCCAATATTAAAATAGAGCCAAAATTGTTAAAACGTTAATGCTATTTTTAGCATCATTGATTAGGTTAGTACTCCCCTTCTTAGCCCCTCAAATGTAGATAAAGCAAAATATAAGCAGTCCTTGTAATGAATAGTAATGCCTAGCTCATGCTTAACGCCCCCCCCCCCAACTCTCACCTCCAGGAATATCACTCTTTCTACCATGCCTTTTAATGCCTTAACCAAAAGGCAGGCACAAATACAAAGATTTAAGAATGCCAATAGCAAATGAACACGAAGCTAAGAAACAATACAAAGCATAAATATAGGCCCTATAGTGGTTTTAATCTAAAAAAAATCAGCTTAACTAATTAAAAAAAAGTCACTAATTAATTAGTGACTTTTTTTCTTTGCCCTTTTCCCTCCTGTCCTATTGTTTTCAGACGTACTTTATTCTTACTATCATCTGACTATCCCATCACTGAGATTGAAGCTGAATTTTAAATTTAAACGGCATTGGAAGCATACATTATGTGTATCCAGATAATGACAATATCCTCGCTATTTTCGGTGATCTAGAAATTCTGTCCAATCTCAATCCATTCCCTGTTTATAACATTAAACTTCAGAGTTGTTATCATTCTCTATGTAGTGGAAATTCATTAAAATAAGTGCAAACTTATTCGTTTGAAGACGGTTTTTACTTTTTATTATGTTTTTAATATATTTAAAAAAAACATGATTAAAAGCTGAAAGTTTTATTATATAATATTAATAAGCAAGCTTAATTTTTCCAGAAGAAATAAAATCATAAAATAAATACGCTTAAGTGTAACACTGCTGCATACTGCCAGAAAAAAACGCGAGTTTAATACATATTTTAACAAGAAAACCAGCCATACTCACTTGCACCTACAGAAATGCTAGCCAGTGATAAGCATCCAAAAGTGACCAGAATTTTCTCCATCATTACAAATGTGCACGTGAAGTCTGGAACTAGATGAGCAAAAGCAATGACCTCCTAAGTATGTTTTTCCCCGCAAAGTTTATAGTCTTAGATTAAATTTTTACACTTTTTAAATTTGATTGTAGACTCAAAATATATTTTTAAAAACAGTTTCTAATATCTATTCATTAGAATCTACGTAAAGAATTAATATCTTCAGTAAATTATAAAAATTTGCTGTTTATGTTTTGTACACGCATTTGTGTGCGAAGAATAAAGAATGTTAAGAAATAAACCACAACAAAATGTATGCTAAAAAGGGTGTGTGTTCGTGACCTAAGCCCTACACATCCACAAGTGCTGACATTAAAATTTCTTTTACAAAGAGAATTTACAGCTTCATTTTTCTATAATTAACATAATTAGCATTCTAACAATCTAGATTTAAAATTTAATGTGTCGCTGTTTACACATAAAAGACAGAATAACTGTTTTTTAAACAGCATTAAGGAACCACAACTGCTTTTTTACCTTGTGACGTCACAGTAGACCAAGTTTTGCAGCGGCGTAGCGTCCATTCGACAACACCAAGGGAAGCAACCAAGTATTAAAAATAAAATCACAGGGCCGACTTTGCCAAGCTGCATTTCTTTTTCTAACCGGCCTGAAAACAAAAACTTGTAAATAGTCAGAGATTCATAGATAGGGATTATACATGTCAGAATAAATTAAGTCAGGTGTCCAGATTTTTTGTTTGTGGTATGCCACAGTTAACACCTCCGGGGCAGTTTTGTGTTGTTCCTAGTTTTTAACTTTCCACCGATAAAACACCGTAAGTCCCAGCGAACTGTCGCGCAGACACTCTAAAATATTAATTACAGCACATGCTTACCATAGGACAGTTACAAATTTAAATGTTTTATTTGTTTTGTTAAGTTTGTGACTAGTAAAACTATACGAGATATTGCATGTTTTTTTTTTTTTTTTTTTTTTTTTTTTTTTTTTTTTTTTTTTTTTGTATTTCATTGAAAACAATTCGCAGGTCAATTCACAATTACAGTTATTACAAAGCATTTATGTAATCTACTCAGCATTGCCCCCCCCCCCAAAAAAAAGACCTAAATTCTAGAGATTCCAGATGTTTTCTAATAAGTAAAACTAAATATAGATTGTCATTATATATTATTTTATCGATTGTCTTAGCCAGGAATTATTCGGGGGGGGGGGAGGGGTGAAAAAAAGTTCTTTAAATATATAATTACATATTCAGAAACGAATTTAAAGAAATAACAGTTATTCCACGGTGTTCAACATTTGAATTGAGGGGAGTTAACCCCCCCCCCCCCCCCCTTGAGCTACGCTGCCTCCGCCACTGACTTGATAGACCTACTTTATCCCTGGTTACTTTTCGGTCAGGCTCATGACACTTGATTCGTCCCTAGAGTCACATGTATGGAGACTCAAACGCCGACAACCAAAAATTAACCAACAGTAATTCTACCACTTTTCCTTAATCTAGAGTCGAACACTTAACCCTAAGCGAAACATTAACCAAAAGCATAACCACAAGAGATAAAGAATGGATAAACGCTTAAACGTCAGACGTGAGGATACGTCTAATTGGTTCGGTGTGGTCGGGTGGGAACCGAAAGGTCCCGAGTTAAAACTTCGGGCTAATGAGACTCGTGGGTGGGGACAGCAACCCATCTGGGAGGGAGAGCTCTGAAATCAATCAGGGGCGGAGCCACATTGGCGATACGACACAGCAGATGCTCTAGGGTCAATCAGCTGAGTGGAGAGGAAGTGGGGAAGGGGGGCTTGCAGAGCTTTTCCAGGCATCTATTCGGGGGGGGGCGCCCCCCCCCCCGAAGAAAGTCTACCGCCCCCCACCCCCGAACGAGATGGAAATTATATAGTAAACAAACACTTTTACTAGTGTCCCCCCCCCCCGGAAATATCAAGTGCCCCTCCCCCCCCCCCCCCGGAGAAAAACGTCTGGAAGAAACTCTGGGGGCTTGATATTATGGGAAACATCTTTCTCTTCTCAACATACTGCCTGGCTTTTCTCCTTGATTTCCAAGGAGCAATCATCCTATCGACTATCATTTATTGATGTCTGATCAATAGAGTCCTGCCAGACCATTCACCCCCAACTTCTTTTTTTGTTTTTAATTGTAATGATGGAAGGGATTTCCTCCAGCACAATAGAATATTAAGTGTCCACTTGTTGTTATACGTCATTATTTAAGCCGTTCATTCATATTTCAATCAATCAGTGGCATAGCTAGGATTTAGTGTTAGTGGGCCCCTCAGAGGCGTAGCGACCCTTTCCGGCGACCGGGGACAAAACTTTCGATTTGTACCCCCCCCCCCGTCCTCAGACTTTCCCTTCCCCCCCCCCCCCCCATCAAACTTTCGAAAAAAGGGACCCTATTTGCCTTGCTTACGCTAGCTATACGGTAGCTACACGCAGTGGCGTAGCGAGGTCGGGTGTCACCCGGTGCGGCACTTAATGGTGTCACCCCCCCCCCCCAGAGGTGTAGTGACCCTTCCCGGGACAAACTTTCAAGTTTTCAATTCGCACCCCCCTCCCTCAAACTTTCGATTTGCACCCCCCTCAAGTTTTCGATTTGCACCCCCCCCCCTCCTCAAACTTTCGATTTGCATCCCCCCCCCCTCAAGTTTTTCTCTATATATTTTGCTATTTTTTGCCTTGGTGTCACCCCCCTAAATGGTGTCACCCGGTGCGGTCCGCACCCCTCGCCCCGCCCCCCCCCCCCTCGCCACGCCCCTGGCTACACGCCACTGATTTCAACCTCCTTTTCTTCTGGATTTGCTTTCATAGCCTTTGTACAACCAAGAACAAACTACAAGGCAGCAGTTGTTTGATTTTGGACTTGTCTCTCCTAGAACGGGTTGCTGTCCCCCAGATGTTGAGCCTCATCTGCCCGGGACTTTTCGGATTAGCAACCATGACCTTAATCCGACCCGACCACGCCGATCAGTTTACGTATACGATTTTTAGTTTAGTTTCTCTTTTTTTTTTACCTTAAAAAAAATTGTTAGATATTGTTACGTTTGGATTGCAGTGGGCTTATACTAACTAATCCAATCCATAATGACATCTATGTTTATTTAAGGTTAGCTAAATATTGATTATCATAGAGGGGGGGGGGGATCCCGTTATCGCGGTAATTCTTACTGATCAGTCCATTGTTGGAGAGTCCTGCAAACGTCAATCTTCGTTGAGCACTCATCACATCAGCCAATCGTTATCCAACAAATGTTACATATTCTATTGGATGGCAAGAGGTTCGCAGCTGTTACGAGATTATTTTTTTTACCAAGCACGTACTTGGGTAACTATTGGTAACTGATAAGCGATCATCCATACATAACGACACACACCCAGAAGGAGAGAGGTTCAAATCATTTGGACGAAGCAAATAAGCGTGTTTTGTATCTCTCCTATGAAAAAAAATATGAGGAAATAAATATAAATAAATATAATTTAGGTTAGGGGAAGGGGCGGTGAAATCATTTTAGTATAGGGGCAGGGAATGGGGAATATGGCATAATATGATGTGTGTATGTGTGTATGGGGGGGGGGGGGGGAATTCGACTATTGCGTGATTTTAATTATGCACGAACTTTTTTTTTTACAATTTGTGTATGACTTTGACTCCATGATCTGATAAGGGCTTTACATCAAACGATTATTTTCATGCTATTATCATTTGAAGTGGCACTTTCAGAGTTTCTTTCGAGCATCTCTTCATGTGGGAATTCCCCCCCCCCCCCCCCCCCGATGAAATCTAAAAAAAATTATATAGTAATTAGTAACTATATAGGCCTACTTTAACCAATGTCTACCACCCCCCCCCCCCCCCCGAAATTTCAAGCGCCCCCAACACTTGGGAGAAATATCTGGGCGCTTTTGAAGATTCTAGATCGCATGTGCCAGTACATAAAAAAAAAACAAATGGTAGCTGCAGTGAGGTTAATGTAATTAGTAATAAAACAGATAGTATTAGTTACCTCACAAGTTAAAGACACTTACAAGTACTATGGACGTTTCGACCCAAGGTCTTCGTCAGCACACAACAGTGTGATTACAGATTAGACAAATAAAGACAAACAGTAACAAAAACAAGTTTGAAAAATGAAGTATGTATGTAAAACACATACGCAGATAACGAGACAAAGACTGTTTGTCTTTATTTGTCTAATCTGTAATCACACTGTTGTGTGCTGACGAAGACCTTGGGTCGAAACGTCCATAGTACTTGTAACCAGTGGCGTAGCGAGGTCGGGTGTCACCCGGTGCGGCACTTAATGGTGTCACCCCCCCCCCCCCCCCAGAGGCATAGAGACCCTTCCCAGGGACAAACTTTCAAATTTTCGATTTGCACCCCCCCCCTCGAGTTTTTCTCTATATATTTTGCTATTTTTTGCCTTGGTGTCACCCCCCTAAATGGTGTCACCCGGTGCGGTCCGCACCCCCCCGCCCCCCCCCTCGCTACGCCCCTGCTTGTAACTGTCTTTAACTTGTGAGGTAACTAATACTATCTGTTTTATTACTAATTACATTAACCTCACTGCAGCTACCATTTGTTTTTTTTATCTTTTCGTGCCAGTACATAAGTGCTGTAGTCAGTGACGCCATATAAGGGACACAAGCCGAATCACGTTTTACATTGTTATGCGTTTAAAAGAGCGAGCTCCCTTGTAAATGTAAACTATTTCCGGAATCAAATCTCAAAATGGCGTCGAATAAGAGAAAGCAGGACGAAAAGCATTTAAAAATGTTGCGAGAGATGGTTTCTCTCCCTAGCAACAAACAATGCTTTGATTGTCACCAAAGAGGTCCAACATATGTTAACATGACCATAGGTTCCTTTGTATGCACATCTTGTAGCGGCATTTTGTAAGTAAAGTAAAATCCCACTCTAAAATGTTGAAAGCCTGACAATTTGGTTTTGCTAGTTACCAGGCAAAAGCTAGATTCTAGTTTTAGTGGATCTTGACTCTATTAACTATTTAGAATAAATCTGTAACTTACCGGTAGTCCCATCTTTTGAATTATTTTGTATGCGAGTAAACATTAAAAATTGTGAGGTCTGCTGCAGGACGTGTAGGATAAATTTTAATTAAGGATAATTCCACAGCATAGCGTTGGTTGGTTATTATCCGGAATGGTTTAATAGTTTCATTAGGCCTAGGGTAATCCCTTAGTTTAGCGTCGGAAATTATCGGGTAATGTTTGTGAGTCTCGGTAACTAGAGTTACTGTAAACCATGGTTTATTTGACCATTGAAATATAAATAAATTGAAAGTCGATTGTAGTAAATTAATGTTTTAATTTTTTAAGTTTAATCGACAAAAGGAAACAAGAATAAATATAATAGTATAGTAGATTTAAATTAGTAGATCTAAAAAAAAAACATATATTAATATAAATATAAATAATGAAGTCAAATGTAGGCTAATAATTTAATGTTTTTTGCTTGCAGCGGATTTGCTACCATTAATTAATTAGATCTAGATGTAGCTAGATATCTAGCTGCTAGGCCAAGTAAAAAAATCTAGATTACGAAAATAGTAAAAATGATTACAAAATGTAAAAATGATTACAAAAATAAATCTATCTAAATTTTAAACATTCTGTATAAAAATAAAAGATGACACCAAATAAAGTATGGTTTACAGTACTTCCGGTGAATTCCGGAAGTGTGTGACAGACTTTGGCATTTTTTTACTGTTTTTTACTGCTATACGATTCCGGAATAATAACCGACGCTAAACTAAGGGATTACCAGGCCTAGTTTGATAGTGTTACTCGTTAACCCGGAGGCGTGGCCGGTTGCTAACAACAATATGGCGTACGGACCAGATGCATGACCTCCGTCGATTTTTTGTCTTAGTTCTAGTGACCTTAGAATTACTGTTTAAAATGTTTACGACGAACAAAATGTTGGGGTTTTTACATTATAAAAACATACCTTAGGTGGCAGGGCTATATATGCCAGAAAAGCATTTTAAAATTTGGTTTTGAGAATGGAGGCTAAATTCAAAAGTTGGTTTCATTAAAATTAATAGAACTTTTAAAATATCTATTTTTACATGTTTTTGCTCATTTTAGCTACATTGTTTGTTTTACTTAGGGCCTATTTATATAGTCTTATTTTATAATTTTAGTAGGCCTTGTCACTATTGCTAGGCCCAATTGTCACTTGACCCAAATCTTCTGCATAATTTTATTTATCAAATTTCTGTGTTTCTTAGTTTCTTCAAACAATATTAATCCTACACTCGACTTTATTTTATATTTCAATGGTCAAATAAACTATGTTTTATATTAACTAATAATTTCCGATGCTCTATTATTAGATTACCAGATATAATATTTGGTATTTTAAATGATCTACAGTACTTAAGTAGACTAGTTCTAAAATCTAGATGGTTTTTCAATTTTTGGTATTTTCAAGTTTTGGTCTAGCCTAATACACTATTACTGCTTGAATCAGTTTTTGAGATTTAGCTTAGTTTTAGTTAATTTTAGTATCCTGCTACACAGTGTTTAAAATTAAAATACTTTCAAATTTAACATATTCCATTGCCAAATAATTATGTAAATGTAAATTAGTGTGGAAATAGGTCTATTATCAACTCAAGCTACAAGAAACTACTATCTATATCCATTACAAGTTATCAAAACATCATTGCCTGTGGCCCAAACTACTGTAACTTATGGTGTTAAATAATTTAGCAATAAATCAAAATAAATATATAAATTGAAGAATATTTAGTTTTTAATGCAGAGATTATCTCAAAACTTCCATGAAATCCTTTTTTGCTATTTGAATGCATTTACATTCACTGTTTTCCAACCTTCAACTTTTTATTTACAATCGTTTCAAATTGTATTAAAACAATTTTCCAAATTCTCACTCCCTCAAAATAATAAGAATCATAATGACAAAACTATATTTAGCTTCATTATGCCATTGTTAAGATCTTATTCATTATCATGTATATTTATTTTTATACTACAAATTTAAAACACAAGTTTCTTTCTCATTTTAAATTTACAATAACTTTGATATTGAACCTTATTTTTGAAAATAAAACTTATTTTTGTAGTCATGGATAAAATATAAAAAAACATCAGCCATTTTGAATGTTTATCAATTTTCAAAACATACACTTATTAATTTGTAGCTACATCATATACTTATTTTTATGTTTTACTTGAAACATTTTGTCAACAATAAAGCTTTTAAACTGATAAATGGTTTCAAATCTTTATTGTTTCTAATTTGAGGGGGTAATTACTAAATAAACATAAAGGCGCTAAACATGAAAAATCAGCAATATATATATTTAGCTAGGACATTCAATTAATATACTATTTAAGTAGGAGTAAATCTAAAGTATATTGTGATATTTTGGTTTAAAGAGGCAGAAAAAGTAAATAAAAATAAAAGTGTCAAATTTTGTAAATAGATTATAGAGTTAAAGGTCATGTTTTGTTGATAAACTCACTGTGTCTGCAATAAAAAGCATGAGGAAAGTACAGTCTTGTATTTGTTTTTAGAATAACAAACAATAAATTAAATTAGTTTTATATTATTTCATGTGACCATAAAATAATTTAAGTGAAGATGTTTTAAGCAGATTAAAATGCTGGGGTGGTATCATATTAATAGTGGTTTAAGTATACCCATCAGCATAAAAGTAAAGGTATTAACTGGAAGTTAGCCAAAAGGTTTTTGCCAAGGTTTTTCTCAAAATAACTTTGTGTTCAGTGCATGCAACAGGATACCTTTTATCACTAGCTGAATGTTATTTATGGTTATTACTATCTAGAAATGAACATTTAGTTACATTAATTAAAAATTGTCTCCTGTTTGAGATGGTGTTTATTTTTAGCTTTATTTTCTCTTCTTTTAGGCTAAACATTGTCCTTTAGAATGGAATAAATACAGTTGCTAGTTAGTACAGTTTGATGGGAGGCTTATTTTGCTATTTCAAAATTTATCCACCAGTTTCTCTACTAATCTGAAATGGCTACATTTGTCTAATGAATATATTTGCCTGATTGCTTGATTTTTTTATGGAAAATAAAAACTCCAAAATCATGAAAATATTATGCCATTATGATGATAGAATGTAGAACAATTTTTTTTTAGTTTTGTGTGAATAATTTAACTAAACTGTATATGAGCAGAGCACATATTTATTTCAAATGGTGTGATTAGTTTAGCATTTGTTATAACTAGACTCTCATTGAACTTGAGGTGGGTTTTTTTTTTTTTTTGTGTTTTAGTTATGTTGATATTTGTGAATAAACACAAAAGAAAGAAAAAAAACTAAATAGCACTCTAATATTAATTGCATTGTGAAAATGGAAGCTGGAATTATGGCATCTAGCATAATGGACATATTGTATTTTCATTCCCCTATCAAGACCATGGTATAGACCTCGAAATAGTTTCACTAAAGACAAAAGATCGTGTGCAGGATCTAGAACACAGTCTAACATAGCACTAATTGCCCCTAATAATGCTAATATGGAGGAAAAACTATTAGCAATTCCAATATTAACAGCTTCAAAAGAACTAAGGCTAGGTGACCCAGGTCAATGGCCACTGATTTAATTTCCCCCTTACTCTTCCCCCCTTCCCAGATAACATTTTATTTTTATAATATATTTCCAACTAATTACAGATAGGTCTACAATTTACTGTTTGTTTTTGTAAGCCAGGGGGCGTAACTGTAACAAAACAAAAGTAAACTTGGTTTAATTGCTCTGCTTTTTTATTTACTTTTCTTAATGGTAAAATTTTATATTAATATACATCAAATATAGTTATTGGTTATCTGAATAAATTATTTACAGTAATATTTATGTATGAAACATATTAAGGCAAACTGTCATGCAGAAAGGGTATTATTTTGTAAACTTTTTATGACTGAACAATATTCTAGTTACCAGTCAATAATGTTTCAATTAAAGCTGTTGTGTGTCAAATAATTTACTTCTTAATTTAGATATATCATGAATTCTTCATGTCAATATTTGATTTTTGATATTTTACTTCACATTTAGACGGGGTTTGAATCCTCCACACAGAGTTAAATCCATCTCAATGGCTAGTTTTACACCAGAAGAAATGGATTTTCTTAAATCGCATGGCAACGAGGTATGTTCATAATGCTTAAATATTTAAACAGTATATTGCTTTATTCCCAGTTATATATTAAAGGCACTGCTCATTGGTTAATGTATTTTTGCTTTCAAATTTACAGTTTACCTGTTGTTATGTATTAATATGGAGTGTAATCTAGTTGGCAAGTTGCAGTATTCAGTACATAGCTCACACCTTGGTATTAATCAACCTATGAAATTATTTATTTGCACGTTTTGGTCAATTTTTTTTTTAAAGCTCATTGCTTTTACTCTAATCAATTAATTGGATTTTTTTTTTCATGTAACTTCTTGAAAACTAGTTAAATTATAATTGCAAGATGTAATATATTTTTTTTTAAAACTAACTTCAAAAGAGCAAAAAAAAAACACCTCCCCCCAAGAGACTTAGTGTAAACATGAGCTTTCACTGGCTGAAGTCAATCAATACCTGTGACATGGATTCCCTTTTAGAAAATTCATTAGCCACCAATTAGACCTTTTGCTAAATGTTGGTGTTTTATAAATCCCTGCAGCTGCCATATGGACAAACTATATACTTTGTTGTGCTTAAAGGGGTGTATTACAAGTAAATAAGAAAAATCAGAACTTACCAGAATCAGCAAATGTAATCATAACTGAAGACTTTATCAGCTGGTACTTCCTAATATGATTTTATCTTAGTATTAGGATAAGGGAGATAATTCACACCTTTTTAAAAAATATAATGAAGATAACTGATTAACTGATGTATATCTAGTGAGTAAAAAGTTTTAACCCTGTTAAAAGCTTTTTTTTTTAATTGATCTTAGGGATTCAATATTCATTTCCTAGGCAATGATTAGAGTAAATAACATAGTGGTTGTTTTGTTGTTCTAATTAATGTGGTGGGTATGATCTGCTACTTGTTTATTTACTGCGTACAATAGAATTTATTATACTAAAAGCTGATACTAAAAGAAAGGTGTTCTGAATAGATTAAACCACAATGCTAAAAGAAAGGAGTTCTAAAATGGGTAAATCACTTCTTGTTTAAACTGTAAGGAAGTTTTGTTTGGGGTCAAAAGGTGAGAGGTCTAAAAAGACCAACCCAGAGTTATAACAAGAAAAGTTTGTTGGGGTCAAAAGGTGAGAGGTCTAAAAAGACCAACCCAGAGTTATAACAAGAAAAGTTTGTTGGGGTCAAAAGGTGAGAGGTCTAAAAAGACCAACCCAGAGTTAAAACAAGAAAAGTTTGTTGGGGTCAAAAGGTGAGAGGTCTAAAAAGACCAACCCAGAGTTAAAACAAGAAAATTTTGTGGGGTCAAAATATGAGAGGTCTAAAAAGAACAACCCAGAGTTAAAACAAAAAAAGTTTGTTGGTGTCCAAAGATGACCCAGCCCTAGTCATGACATTCTGTGCATGATTGAGATACCTGGCTTTGATAACCTACTTCCACTGGTGATGGTTACCACAGATATTCTGGCCAGCCTACATAGAGATAACATCAACCACTCATTGCTCAATCAAGATTAGCCATTCACTATATTTTTAGTTGTTGTGTAACCCTTATAGCAAGCCTGGTTCATTACTGTTATTTATTAAGCTGGAGCACTGGGATGACCCCCATAGTGTTTTTCTTTTGTTGCTGTTTTGTTTGTTGTTGTAGTTTTAAAAAATAGGTTCTAAATGAAGATGGGGGGGGGGGGTTAGTTCAAACTGTATATCAATACAGTTTGTTTTAACAACAGAATAGACATCAGGTTTTTATTCAAACACATGTTTTAAGCCACAGACCAGGTTTTCTGTAATAGACAGCAGGTTTTCAGCCATAGGAATAAGGCTCTAAGTCATAGACAGGCTTTCATCTCTTGAAGCCATCAGCATTCAGCCATAAACATCTTTTCTCCTAGCCACATACACCACGCTTACCAACATGCTTTTAGTAATAAACATTAGTATTGCATCCATGGTTGTCAGTCTCTAACTAGATGTTTGTAAAACACATTCAAGCACTCAACAACCCATATTATAAATTTCAAATCTAAACGCTGCCACTTAAGGGAGTGGATACTAGGATTATACATTATTATAGTGCATGAATTAAATTTCACAAATAAAAGTGTGATTTTTCTCAATTACTGGTATATTTTCGACATTGTAGAATCATTGTCTGAATTTGTATAACTAAGTCTAGTGTCTAACCCTCCGTCAGCATACATGTTGTGGCTGACCTAAAGACTAACTAATGTTTTCAAGTTATACTTCACAATGTTAGCTTTCTTCATTTGATACTTTGTTTTGATTCATATAATACACATCTGGGTTGCAGTGGCTGAAAATCATCGGATATCAACTTATTTTTAGAATACCTTAGTCAATGGTGTGGGCAGGGTTTACAATAGACACATTTGGTTATTTTATAATTTTAAAAAAAAAGGTATCTGGGGGGTTGTCTATAAATGACGTCATACAATACCAACTGATTCTTCTTCCCCGGTGCATGGCGTCATTTATGCCCCGCAATTCCCCACCCCCCACCACTCCTACTAAAACAGCATAACAGTAACGTGTCTTTCTCATTTCTCAGTACATTTATATCCCAGTCAGCTTTCAGTCAAGTCGAGTGTTGCCTCTTGTGCTGGATGTCGCCCAGTACCCAGTGCTAGCCTGGCTGACAATAGACCCATGTAGTACCTCAATCAACGTCTGCTTTATTAGTTTCTATACTGCTGTGCTAGCATAGACTTAAACTGTGTTGGGTGACACATCAGATTATTGCCTGTGGGCACGGAAACTTTCTTCTACTATGCCGCACTCCTTTTTTTTAATACATTAAATAGACACCTATCGAGATGTATCTAAATATGTATTAGTAGAAGGCAATTAAAGATCATATAAAATATGCATACAATCACACTGAGCCTAACAGAAAGGCGAACCCTTAGTCATGTGTTATTGTCCTCTTATTGATGACACATCTGAAACTGACGACACGTTTTCAAGGTGTTGTCAGGTAAGTTAAACAAAAGACTTGACAGGGGAGCTGCATGTCATTAATTAAAACGTCTCATACAGGGACAAGATGGATGACCTGCTGGGATTTATGACGTGACCTTTGATCTCTTGAGACGGCAGCGAGAAATTTAAGTTTGTTTACAGTTTGAGTTAGATAATGGAACAGTAGTCCTACATAATTAAATGAAAAATATTTACAGAGCTTCTCTAGGTTCAAGTGATAGGAGGTGGGTTACCAATACACGATGTCAAGCGATGCCACCTTATTCACCCTTCCATCCTTACTTATTGTATCCAGGGGCCCAACACTCTCTCTCTTAAATCTTCTAGAAACAATCACCTAATTTTACCCTATTCTACAATGAATGATAATCCGAATGGAAAATGTTTACATCTTTTTATTTTTTAAGCTACACAAAATGTATTGTACGTCATATTTCATACCTTCTTTCCCCCCCCCCCTGAAAAATTCCCCTTCTACAGGTGTGATCCCCTCATAAAAAGTAGTTGTGTCGACTTATTACTTTTTGGATTTAGTCCTTGATGGTTGTTTGAGAGGGCACATCTTAATAACGTGGTGTGTTTATCCTCTAAATTAGCCAACACAGCTCGTGATCTTAATTAAGAAAACTAGCCTGGAGTGATTTGATTTAAACGTCAGATATATAAGAATAAGACTCTATGCTTAGGTTAGGTCGACCTAAGCAGGCATTCGGTGAAACTCTTGTCCACTTCGTTTAACTCAGCAGCGATGTTATGCCGAGGGTTTACATGTACATCCGCGTGCATTAAGTTTACACAGTTCTGTTTTGTGGCTTGAAATAAGTTATGCTCGATAACATAGCAATGGCATTCTCTTGAACAAGCTGTTTTTTTCCGTTTGCTTGTTTAGCCTGATAACCATCATGAAGTGGCAATGCTGAGCCTTACTGTCCATGATTTTATCGACACGGGGGGTGTTTTCACCGCTCTACTAAAACTCGGTCGAAAGCTTATCACACACAATAGAACCTACTCGTGACGGTAAGGCTGACCCGACACAGACGGCGCTAAGTGGTTCCGTTTGGTACGACCTGTCACTTTTGCTGGTCTATAGGGGGAAGGGGGGGGGGGCAGTGGCGTAAGCAGGGGGTTAGAGGGGTCATACCCCCCCCCCTCCCATAGACCCCTCGGTATATATATATAAAGTATGAGGGGGTGCATTTCGAAAGTTTGAGGGGGTGCAAATCGAAAGTTTGAGGGGGGGGGTGCAAATCGAAAATTTGTCCCCGGGTAAAAATTGGAACACCCCCCCCCCCTGAGACGACCCTGGCTACGCCACTGGGGGGTCTAATTTGGCACGGGTTGTGCACTATTTTTTTTTCATTTATCATAAACTGTATGCTCGTTCAATCAAAAACATGTATGGTAAAAGTTATCCCGCAACGTTAAGGTTGTCTTGTATGCGTCACTCACAGAGTGATGAGCTTGATATGTTAGACGCACCGATATTCCAAGTGTCCGCATAAATGCCACCTTGTTGTCCGTGATCTACGCCTAAAACCTCAGGTCTAAAAGTTATCCCGCAACGTTAAGGTTGTCTTGTATGCGTCACTCACAGAGTGATGAGCTTGATGTATTAGTTAGACGCACAGATATTCCAAGTGTCCGCATAAATGCCACCTTGTTGTCCGTGATCTACGCCTAAAACCTCAGGTCTAAAAGTTATCCCGCAACGTTAAGGTTGTCTTGTATGCGTCACTCACAGAGTGATGAGCTTGATGTATTAGTTAGACGCACAGATATTCCAAGTGTCCGCATAAATGCCACCTTGTTGTCCGTGATCTACGCCTAAAACCTCAGGTCTAACAGGAAAAGCAGATCGTTTTTCTCGCGTGTCCTGTAGGTCGTCACGTGTCTTTTGTTACATAACGTGCAACACATACGTTCTGACATTACCTGGTGTAAAAAAACGCACTTTTAAAAAAGTGTAGTGTCGACTCGGGTTGAGCAATACAAGTACATATGTATTTTTATCATTCTTCGTTGTCCTTTTCAACTCTTAGTGGTCATTTACAACATCTTTCCATGCTTTCTGTCTTAAGGTTTTTTTATTATTTTTTCAACCATCATTTCTCATAGCTTTTTATTTTAAGTGTTTATTGAAGTGATTTTTAAGAATAAATCAACCCATTCGCACATATCAAGATAGACTAATTCCCCCTCACCTGTGGAATGGCGAGTGGTAATTTTAATTGCATTGTCCAAAGTTAAGATACTACCACAGGAACTTGCTATGTAGAGTTTAGAGGACTTGCAATGACACTTGCGTCACTAGAATTCGTTCTTTACTTTCTCCGGGCAGGTTGTATTGATGTGTACTGGAGCTGTTGGTCATTTGACCAAAAAATACCGCCTGTCTAGACAGGCTCGTGAAATTAGGACACAGTCTGCTCTTTCCATGTCCGGTGGGGAGGGTGGGGGTTGTACCAGTAAAATAGGGCGGTTTAAAAAAATTGTTTGACCAAAATCTAATAGTCTTTTTTCCCCACGTTTGGCCAATGAAAATTTAGAACAATTGTATACATCACGCGTCTCTCTTTAAAACATCAACACTTACCTACGCCCGCTAACTGTTGCAAAAATCGCTTTTGTTAAAGCAACCATGGGACATCGAGTGTGGGAAGATTTCACGGAGAATTCTGAGGTCGGGATATCTAAAGGAATGTGTTTATAGAGAAATCTTTTGATTTTCTAACCTCTCGTGTTTCTAGTCTTACGACCTTAACCTTTTGACGTCAGAACTTTGTTTTATTTGTATCTTTTTTCATGTGTAAAATTTAAATTCGTTCGTTAAGCTGTGTAGTTAACACGTTGAAAAAAAATTGTATTGTGAGTAAAAAAAAAAACGAAATGGATATTGATTGTTTTAAAATATCGCGTCATTTGTTATCATTTTCCTCTTCTAGTGTGCGCGGGTCAATTCTTGTAAAAACAAGTCACACTTTGCCTAGCCGTCCGCGGAGTGACCATATAGACAAGGGACTAAGCCCAAGGTTTCGCTAGACCGTGTCGCCGCAGAGAGCCAACATTGCCAGTTGACCTCTAATTACCGGACACGGCTTGCGGTTATTTTTATCGCGTCTGGTTTGGCCAGTGTTTGGCCGGTGTGTTGACACAGACGGCCCGCAGTGAAGTTCTCCTGCACTCGGCTGTTTTAGAACCCTCGGTGGGCAGTGTTGTTTTTTTTCCTTCCCCTGTTACATTGTCGTCTGTTGTCTTTTTTGCACCGACGATGGGGTTCTCAAATTGCGTGACATGTTATAGATTTAGTCTAGCTTGGGGCGTTCCAGTGTCATGTTGACACTTACCAAATATTACTTGGGTTAATTCAACGTTTTACTTTAGGTGTTACTAATGCACGCATTGTTAAAATACGTTATATCCAGTAGCGTAGCGAGGGGGGGGGAACTTTGTCCCCAGGCGCCGACCTTAGGGGGCGCCAAAATGGGTTGGAAAAATAAATTGAAAGGTTAAGGGGGTGCAAAGCGAAAGTTTGAGGAGGGGGGGGGTGCAAATGGAAATCTCAAGGGGGGGGGGGTGCAAATCAAAATCTTGAGGGGGGTGCAAATCGAAAAGTTTGTTCCCGGGGGCGCCGGGAAGGGTCGCTACGCCTCTGGTTCTATCATTAGTTAAACATATGAAACGTAATTTTTAAGTATTTAATTTTAATGTAGAAAACGTTTATTTTTAATCTTATTGTGCTAATTATAGTTTGTCCTCTTATATTAAGTAAGCATACTTTCTGTCTTATTATCCTGCAGGGGAGGGGGGTAAAAATGTGGAGTTATCGGAAATGGAAGAATAGCTAAGCTCAAATATCAAATGCTGCTAATATCAGCTCATGGTTTCCATTGGCGGCAGAGCAGATCGCCCCGATGTAATCGTGTAGTGTCTATTTCTGTTTGTTTCTCTTACTTTAAACATGCGTCCTGACGTTGTTTAAGGGGGGGGGGGGGGATAGTTTACCTTGCAGCCACGGCTTAAATTAGAAACAACTTTCTCCTGCCCGCCCGCCCCCATCCCCCAGTTTTTTTTTCTACACACCAATTAGCTAGTTTCCTCGCGCCGCCTATTTTTAAACAAGAACGACAGGCTTTGTTTCGAACACTTATTTACGTTGGGTCATATTTCAGCACGAACCTGTCACGTGACAACCCCCGCCCCCCTTCGTCCAGCTACACCCCTCCCTCCCCTCCTTCCCTGCTCGGACCCGTTACTTAATATCTAGCTAGGTCTGACCCCCAGTGTTTAGCCAGCGAGATCTACTCATTGGGATTTGTTGTCATATCAGTGTTGGAGGTTTAGCTAAGCTATTGGTCAAGTCGAGATGTCTTCTGGAAATACTGTATCAATAGCCAGGCCACGGCCTGTATCACAGGTTAGCTGATGTTAAATGATCTTAACTAGGTAGTAGGTGTAACTGGCAGGGTAGAGGGTAGTTACAGGCTTGTATTTACGTTTAGGCTACAGGCTAATTGAGTTACTTACACCTTGGTTAATGGCTAATTACACATGAGTTACAGGCTAGTTACACATACAGGATAATTGAGTTACTATTACACCTTGGTTAAAAGCTAATTACACATGGGTTACAGGGTAGCTAAAATTTAGGATACAGGCTAATTGAGTAACAGGCTTATTTATACACCTAGGTTACTGGCTAATTACACCTGGGTAACAATCATGCTGTATTTAGGCTACAAGGTAATTACATCTAAGATATTGGCTAACTGCAACTTTGTTATAGGCTAAAATTGCGGAGGTTATAGACTAGGTACTTTATTTAGCCCACAGGCTTAATACACTCAAAATGTTAAGTTATAAGTCATTTTGCAGACTCGTGATTTTCACAAAATTAGCATACAGATTTTAATATAATTTACTTCACCTAGTTACCATGTATCAAACTTAAATTTTCTCTGAACATCTTTGTATCTGCTTTGATGACTAGACACATCAAATTGACTAGGTTGTATGCTTTATGTAAGAATTATACATTCAAGTATGCTCTTTTATAACATGCAAATAAGACTTGGCACTGTCAGGTATTTATTCTTTATCCACAGCATCCTTCTATTTATAGAGCTTTAACAAACATCTTTATGAATTCATGGTTTTCTTACTGTTGGGTGTTTTTTTTTAATCTTATATTTACACCTGACCCATCTACACACTTGGGTTTATCAATTCTTTGTAAGCAACTATCATTACATGTTTTTCACTGGGAAATATCCATACAGAGATGTTTGGGTTGGATTAGCTGTTGTTAGAATTTGTTTTCACCTACTCTCCAATGACCATATATAACCCTTCCTCTTGTTCACATTCTCATACTAGAGTTTATATGCGTAACTTAATTTTAACAATTTTTTTTTTCAACAGCTAAATAGGAAAGTATTTTTAGGTCTGTATGACAGTCGATCTTGGCCAGAGCCAGACTCAAGAGATGAGCAGCGAGTACGTGATTATATGGTACAGAAGTATGAAAATAAAAGATGGTATGTTGCACCCACAGAGGCGATGAAGGAAGAGGCTAAGCGAACCAATGAAGCAGCCCTCAACAGTAAACCTCAGGTCAAGCCATTGCGCTCATTGCTAGGAGAAAATGCATCCAAGTTAACTGTTGGAGCAGCACCTGTGAGTTTGGCTTTACTCATTCTAAAACAGATCTATTTACATTGTTACTATGTAGCCTACTCTTATTTATTTAACAAAGCAAGCACAATTTATTTAAAACAATTGTTTTCAGTTTTAGATAAAAAGTTGTGTTACTGAAATTGAATTAAGTAAATAAATAAAATGTATCACTTCAAGTTACTTGTAAAATGGATAAAGTTGCCAGTATGTCATTAGTTTTCAGGTTTTTTTTTTATAATAGCTTTTTTTCAAATTAAATATCCATCCCTTATTCCATCCATTCATCCCTGTTGCTTTACATCCCATGAAGGGCTTAGGACGCAATTACAGTAGTCCTTCCTCCTACTAACTCTCTCCATCTATATAGACGCAAATTTGTTAAGTATATATAAGCAAACATTAATTGGGAACCAATGCCATTATAGAGTCAAAAACAAACAATACATACAATGATGTCTTACTTTCTATTGTCATACTGTCCGCAAATGATTTGCTGCATGACCTATTTGGGTCACATATGCCGTGATGTGAGAACCACTTCTCTGTATCATATCTAGATAACACCACTGAACTCGATACACCATTGTCACACCTTCTAATGTCATCATCTGTCAATACATGTTTATCTATGGTAGATAGGAAAAGTGATTATCACTTGGTACCGCCATACAATTTTTGTATATTAGGACCATGTTTGAGGCTTGTGTGATAATATTGTAGGAACAGTCTAGTTGTGTTAGCCAGTTTTTGAGACTTGTGTGATGTTGGTACTATAGAGAAAAAATTTACTAGTTCAGCCAGCATCTGATACTTAAGTGATATTGGTACACTAATAACAATCTAAAAGCGCAGGACATTTCTTGATTGTTGAGGTTGTAACATCTGGAATTTTTTGATGATGCAGACACCACCAGCCACTCATGCGCCAGTCACAGTTTCAGTCCCGCTGCCCAGTGGATTTAAGTCTCCCCCAGCAACAAACAACATACACGCCAGTGGTCAGCCTCCCGCCAAACCATCAGGTTTTGATCTGCTAGGGGAGTTGGGCGGAGACCCGTTTGCATCCAATTCACAGGCTAAGAACAATCATAATGATGGTAAGTCTACCACATGATTCTATATTTAGTAGTAACTTAATTAATTGGGGTGGGGTGGTCCAGAGCCTGAGCTAATACAGATGATAATGTGATTTTTGGGTTAGCTGCTTTAAAAGACAACCCAAAGAACATCTTAAACATACTGGACAATATTGGTGATTAGTAAAGTTGAATTCTATATCATATCCCTTATTGACCTGTGGGTTAAAAAGTGTACATTTTGTATATCCTTTTTTCTAGCTTTTTCTAAACTCAAATATTTACCATGTAAGTTTTGTCTTAAATTGCAAAGGTCACTAAATTTGTAAACACCAGAACAGAAAGCATTCTTTTCTTTTAGTAAATTTTTTTTATTACAGTTGCGTTTAATTCCTCTTGTGTATTCTGAAGGGACTTATTAAACTGATAATCATTAAAGAAAACATTTGGTTGTTTCAGGAGGTTTTGCAGATTTCAGCAACTTTGATAGCTTTAGTGCATCTGTAGCCCAGCCCCCTCCTCCTGCAGCAGTACCATCACAGCCACATTTAGCTCAGCAAGCTTTCCCTATATCCAGTAGTAAGTCTCTGTTTTACATCGTGTAGCTCTATGACATTGGTTAACATTCTCACAGTCCAATCATCTAAATCATTACCACTGTATTCTGAGAAAAATAGAAAAAAAAATAAAAACACAAGTGGAACTTCTGATGGACAAAAAAAACAAAAAATCTTATTCTTAAAAAAAAACTTGATTCCTTTACATGAGTATGGTATTTGTGCCATAAAGTATTTTAATTACCTACTAACCCCCCCCCCCCCCTTTTTTTTTTAAAAATTGCAATGCAATTGTGATAATATAACTTTGCAACACAGGTCAGACAGATAAACTATATTTTGACTGCCCTAGAGCCTATCAGGTCTCAAGGAAGTACTTTCATTTACTTTAAGATCAAATAACATTTTAAAAAATTATAACTTAAGTCTTTAATAAATTTACTTAGGTTCTTGATTAATTTTAAAAATCACTTTCAAACCATCTATTAACAAAATTGTACTTAAACAACATTAAACTAAACTGTTTTTAAAAGTAACTCTCTTATAAAAAAAACACTTTTTTGTGGTTAAATATTCATGTCTATATTCACAGCTCCACTTCAACCTCTGGGAGTAAACAGCATTAAACTAAACTGTTTTTAAAAGTAACTCTCTTATAAAAAAAAACACTTTTTTGTGGTTAAATATTCATGTCTATATTCACAGCTCCACTTCAACCTCTGGGAGTAAACAGCATTAAACTAAACTGTTTTTAAAAGTAACTCTCTTATAAAAAAAAACACTTTTTTTGTGGTTAAATATTCATGTCTATATTCACAGCTCCACTTCAACCTCTGGGAGTAAACAGCATTAAACTAAACTGTTTTTAAAAGTAACTCTCTTATAAAAAAAAACACTTTTTTTGTGGTTAAATATTCATGTCTATATTCACAGCTCCACTTCAACCTCTGGGAGTTGGCCAACCCCCTGCCCAGCCAGCAACCACAAATACTAGACCTTCAACTGTGTCCACTGGGGACAGATACGCTGCCCTAGCGGACCTTGACAGCGCATTCTCTGCTCCTGCCACTACAGCGACATCCATCAACTGGGGTGGGACGGAAGGTGGGGCAATCAATTGGGGTGGCACCAGTAGTACTGCCAGTAAGATTCTTTGTCATTCTTGTTTAACTTACTCTCTGAGAAGAATATTTTAAAAAGCATTATACTGCTTGTAAAAATGTTTCTCATTCTTGTTTAACTTGCTCTTTGAGAAGACTGTTAAAAAATGAATTTTTCTTACTGTAATCTTAGTTTTATTTTATTTTTTTTAAATCACAATTTTGATTATTTAATACTGTTGAGACTTAAAATTATAGTTTGTGCCTGATAAAAGTTTTTATTTTTTTCTATCAATACATTTTTTTAATGAGATACAATTTGCTGTTTAGTCAAGCCACCAATCTTTTACAAAAAGTAATATTAATTAAATTAAAATTTTTTTAAAAATAGTGAGCTTGTTTTGTGTGGAAAGGAGATGGTGACACGGAAATTAATAGAATAAGATTGTCTTAGTACTTAAACTTTGTGGTTTGCATAGAATTAGATTGAAGTAAAATACTGACCTGGAGCTTTTGTTCTTCAGGCACTCCTTCCCATAGTACATCTGGTCTTAGCTGGAGCACAACAGGTGCATCAGCAGGTGGCCCTATCAACTGGAACAGTCAAGGCACCACCCCCACATCAGCTGGGTTTGGTATCTCCTCCACAGGTATTTAGAACTAGAGCATTCTTCTTCCATAAAAACATTCTTCCAAAGCACTAGCTTTTTCCCCAGTGTAAAGGTCCATAACTTGATGATTAAGTGAAAAACACTTATTTAAAAAATTTAGTCTGAATAAACATATAAAATGTGTAGTAGAAAAATTAAATAGCTTTTACAATTGTATCAAATAATGCTAAAAAAAATGATAAAATGTATATGACAGTTTAATAAATCAGGAAAAATTACAACTTGTCAATATGAGACTGTCCATTTCTGTTTTCTAACGAGTAAACCCTTGTTGCACAAATTAATCAGCTGAATAATATCAAGTTAGATGTGTTTACTAAGTTTTAATTTTATTTTAAACTTTGCTTTAAATTGAAAAGATGGGAAAATATTGATGGTAAAAAAAAATTCTAGCTTGCACTTGAATTTGGCTAACTGGAAGATGTCTGTTTTTTTAAAGCAAATTACCAACAGATTGTGAATGTGTCTAGTACAAAAGTATCAAGAAAAAACTTAATTTCACAAAAAATATCCCACTAAATCCTCTCACACCCATATTAGTCAAACCTTAAAAATCCTTTTTATAAATTCAGTAATTGTTTTATGTAACACTTTTATAAATGCTACAGTTGATTTTTTTTATCTTTCTAAAGATAGCTTGAATGCAGCTTTTAATTGTGTTCTAAATGCATATGTTGCTTAAATTGGATAGATGTTTTTACAATATTCCAATTACTTTTATTTAAATTTTGCTTATATTGGAAGATATCTTTAAAATGTTACTGTTACTGGTATCAAAGTGGCATAAAATAGATTTCTTTTAAAATGTTGCTGTTGCCTAGTTTGTTATTTTGTATCTTACGAATTCTCTTCTGTTTTGTCCAACATTAAGGCAATCCTGGGAACCCATTTTTACATTCCTCGGGTAATGTTGCATGTCAGAGAGATGAATTATCCTAACTCATACTAATCTCATTACAGCTTTCCAGACTTTGCTTCCAAAAAAATATTTATTGCATTCCTGTCTGGTTAAAGTGTACATTTCTTTCTCTTTGGTTGAAAGCTAGACATTTATTATTCAGTGGATTTTCATTTTCTGAGCTTCTGCCATTTTCTTCTATTCTAAAGTAACAGCATTTGAAATGCTAGAGCTCAATATTTTTTACTACTCATATTTCTTTTTTGTTCATACTACTTTTAAAATCATAACTAATTTTTATAATTTTTATAATTTAATGTGTATATTACATTATTATGCTTGCTTTTCAAACTATAGAATGAATTTTATGAAGACTGGTACCTTTCAGCTATTACAAAGCATAAAGTACTAACATTAAATCTTCACCATAGAGTTTAAAGGTTCTATGCGATGTATTTTGTATAGGCTATTAGAACCTTGCAATTCTAAGGTGAGGATAGTCTACTATAGTGTTTGCAGAATTTGTGCTCCTAGTGCAGTGCACGTTTACATAAATCTGCATACTTAAAGTGTAATTTATTACAGCAGACTTGTGCATGATTTCTTTAAATTAAAAAACTACCTAATTAGCATACTTTAAATTAAAGAAATAATTGAATTCTTATGCTGTTTTAGATAACTTATAACTACTAGCAGCCTATTTTTAATCATATTTTATTTTATTTATAATAACTTCCTCACTTTTTTTAATGTCAACATAAAAAATTGGTTTTATTGGTTGGTTGGGTTTTTTTTTTTTTTTTGAAAAAGCACATTTTTCATGTGAAAGTTTTTTTTTTTTTAAAATTTCCTTATAACTTTCAATTCATTTGTCTAATTTTACTTTCCTAAACCTCTTTTTAGCAGCTAACCCTTTTGGTGGCAGTGGAGGTGCAGGAATCAGTGCTTTCTCCTCTGCTGCACCCGTGTCTACAGTGAATCCATTCGGGGCAGCAGCGCCAACATCAATGACACACTTCTCCCAAGCCGGGGGCATGGTCTCCATGCCAGTGTCCACGTCGGCTGGGTTCGGCGCCCACTTTGCTGCGCCAGGTCAGCCCGCAGGTTTCGGCCAGTTCCCACCTATGCAGAATGGTGGGTATGGGATGACACCCACAACAGCTGGTTATGGCGGGGCCCAGGGCTTCATGATGCCCTCACAAGCTGGTGTTGTGCAGAACTCGGGGTGGGGCTCCATGGGTGGAATGCCACAAGGAGGGCCTGTCCAGCCTGTGGCCAACCCTTTTATGGTAGGTTCAGCTCATTATCTTCGCTATTGGTTTTTAATTTATTAACTATTTGTATGAAAATTTAATATTTTTCAGTGTTTCAGATATTTTTTCATAAGTTATGTTTATATGTGATATTACATAATTATTACAATGTCCCATTATATATTAGTTATTTGAGTTAGTGAAATTGACATAGTCGAACAATGTGATCTTACATTTTTTGTTGTTTAAATTTTTAGAATAAACTGATGATGGTCCTTAAATTTTAAATTTAAGAACATAAGTAGGTTTGTAATAATATAAGCAGATTTGAGAAAACTGTTTAAATTATATGTTTTAATAGTTAATAAGATTTTTTGGTAATTAGAGATTTGTAAAAAAATAATTCTACTTATTTTTTATTCATTTCTTTAGAATACAGCAATGCACCAGCAAGTTCCGCCTCCCAGTGGCTCCACCAACCCATTCTTGTGACAACTTTGATATTGTTTACCATTTTTCATCAATTTCATACTAGTGACCTTTGAACTTAGAGGACACTGGGGATAAGCTATCACTTGGTTCATAATAATAAGAAAAGCTAAATACCTTTCCTTGGACAGAATACAAAGATGCTTTCAATGTTTATGTCTATCAGATCCTAATGGACATTTTTGAACTATACTTACAACATGGTGGTGTTGACTTCTGTGAAAAGCCCAAGCTCAATTTAGTTGGAGAAAAGCATATTTTAAGTTTTAAGAAAATTTCTGATAAGGAATTCTACATACTTCTTAGTCATTCATTTGTATGTGTATTTATATATGTATGTAATTAGATGTAACAAGACTTTGGGTATGGAGTAATTAGTAACCCACAAGATACTTCACCATCTACACCGTGGTTGTGTGAATAGTTAACTGTAATTTTCTTTCATTACATAATCAGAACATAATGCCCTTAATTATAGTAAGCAAATATTTTAGGTAAGTGCTAGATAGAAAATAAACTTATTTAATAACGAACCCAAATTTCCACTCTAGAAAATAATGACATGTTTATTTGGGCATGATTCAACATTGTTTTCAAACCAAAAAAAAGTAACTTGCATTTGTAGCTGAATAGTTGCATTGTATTAAGTTTATTGATATTCAAACTATTTTTTTTGCCAAGAAGAATTATGTTGTGGTGTAATTTTTTTAGTCAAGTTAAAAAGGAAGATATGCTTCTTGATTATTTTTATATTAATAGAATTAAGTATTTAAATAATATTTTGAAAGAGCTCATAGGTTTTTTTTGTTACTGAACTGGATCATCTAAATGAAAGAAGAAAATTAAGAAATTGATTAAAATGAATATTTTGTTAAGATTTTAAAAGCTAGTTTAATGTATTTTTTTAAAACATAAGCTTTTAAGGAGAAAAACATACATGTTAGCAAATTATTCCAATAGATCTATATTTATTTTTTTCTTCTGACCGTAAATAATGCTCTCACTTTAACACCCACTCTGCATTATTTCTGCTAAACACCATTGTACACTAATTTAAAAATCAATCTTTAGATTTTGGTTTGTTAAATAATTTATTCTTTGTTAATGTGTTGTATGTCTCCTTGTGTAAATTTAAGGTGCATGAATGTGTACATATATCTTGCTGTGTATTTTGTATATAAGTGTATAGCAGCACTTGAAAAAAAAATATCTTTAATTTACTTCTTATTTTAAGGTATTTTTGAAATGACTGTTTGCACAATTGTTTGCACAGTAGTATTAAAACTGTTTTTACTGGTTATGCAGACATCTTTATTTGCATGTATTTCATTTTGCTGTTAGTCTTTGAACTTTGCTTTGAAACAGGCTTTAGTATGTCAATTAATTATCTGCTGCTGTTTGCCAGTTGCACGTATACTATAAGTACAATGAGAAATAATTAATGAGGGCTTCTTGTTAGTGGTGAAAAATTATTTTTATAAACACAATTTTTTTGTTCACTTGATTATGATGATACCAAAAATAACCTGTATTTGACAGTTTCCACTCAGTATATTTTATATTCAACAATGGTGCTGTTTTTAAAACAATTGATACAATTTCTAAACATTGTTTAACTGATAATCATTGCTCATAAATGATTGGACCATAGCTACAAAAACTGAAGTTCCCTCTATCTTATTAATACAAGTTAGGTCCTATTTTTATTATTTGTGTAAACAAAATTGTGATTAAAATCTGGTTTGATGTAAATGATTGTTGAATCATCAGGGATGTAGAACACTATTTTCAATTTTAGCCCACTTCCTATAAATAAGAATGTACAAGTCAGTTAAAATTTTATGGAACGGACTGGTATAAAACAAAGGATAATATTGTCACTCTACTCACATTAGAAAAATGTCTAAGCTAATCTATCAAGACGCTTTATTATAGCTTGTTTTTATTATTTAATATGCATATTTGTCATTATTTGATACTTATTATCATATTCTATCCTAGTTTCACAAATGTTTATTCAGAAATGTTACCATTCATGCTGAAGCGTACATAGCAAAGTATTTTGTATTTTCACAATGTTACAATTGTGTTGGACTTAACGGCATACAAGACTTGATGACAATCATCAAGATAAGTAAGATGATAACTAATAATAGAACAGTGCAATATTGTATGTAACTGTAGCTTACGGCTTTCCTTTTTTTTTTTTTTTTGTACATGTATTTATCAATGTATCTCTTGAGATACTGTGTGGGGGATGAGTAAATGTGGGTTGGTTTATTGCTATTCAGTTTTTTTTTTTTTTTTTTTTAAAAGGTGTTGATGTGTTTTTTTTTAAATTAGTTTTAGTCATCATAATTTGATTCTCCACTTTCCATCATCTTAGCTCTATATTTGTCACTAGATGAGCTTGTTTAATTTCATTACTCATCAGCTGTTGCTTGATAAAAAGTTGTAAAATTGCTTTCCCTACCTTTGATTACATTGTAAGCCTAATTAGACTTGAGTTTGACAATCTATTCTTTCCTGTTTAGTTTGTTTTATGTACTTGCGCTAGGCGAGATGATGGCACACACTATTGGGGTTTGAAGTATGTCACATCTTTCGCAGTTTCGCCAGTGACCAATTCCTACTGCAAATATTTTGGTGATAATTTATTTTTAATAAATTATCAGTGTACTTTTTTCATTACTATTGGCAAGTAAATTATGTTAATTTAATGCTGATAACTGTTTTAGCCTATCATAATATATTGATATATTATTTTTAATTTACTAGCCATATATTTTTCATTTAAATACTCTTCAAGGTTTTTTTTTGTGTTAAACAGAATTTGTTGAATTGTGAATGGGTAAACAGCTGTTTATAAAAATAGTGATTAAGTTTAAATAGTAAAAAGTATTACTTTTTTAAATACACTGTATTTCCATGCTTAGGTTTTGTTGTTTTAGTTATTTCCTTATGGTCCTGCTTTAGGTTTTATAATTTATTATTCACATTTGTTCTTGCATTTTTTTTTTTACTACTTCCTAGTTGTGTGTCAGTTTCATTTCAGTTGGGTTATTGTAATGTGTGTTTTGAACCCTGTTTATCACTCCCTGAAATCTCAACTATTTTTGGTTTATAACTTCCCTGTGTTAGCTACAATGATATTTTGAACAAAACTTACTTGCTGTCATATAATTTGTTTCTTCTAAGTGAAGTAGATAAGGCTTAATTTTTTAAACATCAGCTAGTTGTACTTGTTACAGTACTTCTTTTCCCGCCTGTGTATCTTAATAACTTTTTAATAACTGATCTCTAATCATGTTATAACAAGTTTTTAAATACAAAGCAAACCTTTAATTTTTTAAAAACATGTAGGCCTACACTAGTTATTTTGTTATAATTATTTCTGATTTAATCTAATAAACTCCGTTCTGATTATCCGATGCACATTAAAAGTAAAAATTACCTCATGCTAATTAACCTCTTTTTTTTTTAAAAAGTACTCAGATGTGATACACAGGACACATTCCATTGTTGGCCATATAAGTAGGTTTAGTTATTCCTGCACCATCATTGTGTCTAGTCCTATGTCTAATGAAATTTGGTGAACCAAAGCTTAAATGTCTACACACCAGAAAATGTCCACTCCAAGCCATGCCAGTCACCTCACTCTGTTAAGAAAATGTTGCATCATCTGCCATTTTTATCATGATCGTTGCTCTGTAATGTAAACAAGTGTTGATCTGTATGTCTTCATAATATGTACATGTTTTGCATTATTACAATATGTGCAATGAACACATGTGAATAATATATAGTAATGTATTACATAAAGTTAATTGTTGCTGTTCTTTTTTTGTATTCCTACTTCATTTGTTTTTATTTCAAAAAACATTGTTCCAAACACTCAATAGGTTTATGAAACAAATTGTAAATAACTTTGTGTAAAGTATCAATCGCAGACTAAAGTATTGTGTGACCTGTTGGTTGAAGTTGAGCTACATTACTGTTACAGGCAAGCACTGGACAGGATGGTGCAAATCACCAGAATGGAAGATTCCTACTTTTGCTGGAGAAAAAAAAATCCACTCCCTCAATACTGGACCACATGTGTCTGTGGTAAAAATAATCCAACTGGCCGGTAAAGGTTAAATACAAAGAGATGTTCAATAAAGATACCTGTATAATTGCCTAAAGAGGTCATATTGAATGTTATATTTAGAATAACCTTGGCCCTTGATAAGGTGGTGTATTATCCTTATGGGACAATAAAGAATGATGACATTCAATTATTTACCAGCCAACTTTACGTGCTGTTAAAGACTACTGGCAAATGATACATTTTAAAATTATCTTTCAATACTCATTAAATGTGTATGATACACATAAATAAAAATTATTATTATCAATAATTTGCTTCCAAGGGAGGCAACCTTAGCAAAACTAACTGTAAAACAAGCCTAGATAGAAAGTTATTAACAGAAGGTATCAAACTTGTTAAAAATCTTTTCTAAGAGATTGCAATAACCTGTTTTGAAATGTTTCAAATCCTAAAACTACTTCACTAGCCTTTGTGACTATAAATTATGTTAGTTGCATTTAGCCTGGACATTGCCCTATTAACTGTAAATATGTGTACAATGAACTATTTAATTCTGCCCACAAATATTCAGACTGCTATGTGATTGCTTTTAACTTGGATTCATCATGAACCAGAATGAATAGCTAATGTGATTCTTATTATTTGGCTGTTTTATCCATTATACATTTTATCTATACAAATAGCACACAAGCACATTATGTACCTTTCTATTCTTTTTTTTTTTTTTTGCTATTTAAAAAATTAACTTCTTTTCATAACAATCATTTTAAAAATAATAATTTAAACATAAATTGCCAAAAAAAAAACAAATTTTTTCTTTGTAAATTAAGTAAAAAAGTATTTCTTCCCTTAAAACTAGTCTTATAATTATATGAGAACATTATTTCTCATTTCATCAAATTTTTGAGAATTCTATTTAAATTACTATTAGTAGTTAGGAATTTCATCTATGAAACTCTCATCCAAGATATTTTATATATCCAGGAATTTGATTTAATTTCCTATTGATTATTTAAAAAAGGAAAAAACTATTCCCAAAATGGTAGAAGGAAATTAAGAAATATTATGATTTATCTTCTAAGTAGTAATCGAGTGGGGGGAAAGACAAATGAAGATAACAAAAATACACTTTTAATTAAAAATTTCTTACATCTTTGCAGGTTTATTTTAATTAATCATTGCAATGCAGGATAACAATTCTATCACTAAAAATGAATGTACTAAAAATAAATTGTAACAATTATAATTGAAGAACCATCATAAATTTGTAAAGCTGATACATTCACTAATTCAAAATATACTTTAACAGTGTAACAGTTTTATAATTTTCATTTAGTAACAATCTTTCATTTGGTAAGTTGTAGATATAAAAGATAATCCAGATTTTTTTCTACATTGTGCTTTATTTGGTTTTTTTATAAATATAATAAAACACTAAATCCCTTCTCTTTATTTAAATTTTAGCTGTTTTTGTTTTAGCATTGTAAAAAAAGTTTTTATTTGGCTTATATGTGTAAATGTTGCAGTTATTATTGTTACTCTTGTCTTGTATGTGATTGGCTGTGTTTGTGACCTACTGTATTGTTACGAATAAGATACATGAAATTAATATTAAAATCTCATGCCTCTGAAGTGTTAGTGTGCTTTTTTTTTTATCAGTACCTAACCTTTATCCTGAACCTAACCTAAAACTCCCCCCCCCCCCCCCCGGAAATTGTTGTCCGCCCCCCGTCCCGTTCCCCCCCCCCCCCCCCCAAAATAATATTTCAAGTGCACCCCCCCCCCCCCCCCCCCGGAGAAAAAAGTCTGGAAGAAACACTGACCAGAATAACAACTTTAAACAAAAAATTAAAACCTCTAGCCAACTCTGTTTGGTGCAAACATATACATTAATAAACCAGAAGTCTATCTGCTATTCTTCTATCATTTAATTCATACATGCTATTACTTAATCCTCCCGAATAAATTATCAATATCATTCATTTCAAGCTTTTGCGATGGGTAGGGGGAAACAAAAATCGATTTAAAAAGCATGATGCCATTTATGGATTACCCCAATATATAAAAAATAGTTTCTCTAAAAAGAGAATTATAGTTTCTAGGATAATATTAGTTGTAAGTATCAAAACTCAAAAAACTATTTTTTTTTCTTTTGCGTATACTAAATAGACGCTACATCTTCGCTAAAAAATAAAATACGCATTTGGCCTATGCAGGGGCGGCTACTCTAATCTATAAATAACAAAAGTAGTCTGCTAGATTTACAAAATAAGTGCCGTCTTTTACGGGAAAGTTATAAACCTGGAAAATTTCAAAATCTAAGATCTAAAATAGATCTAGACTTCTAGATCTATTTCCTAAAATATTAAAACACTTAAATCTAGATCTAATACTTAGCCTAGTCTAAAATTAATTATGGATAATCTGTTTTATACACTGAAAGAACTTCAGAAGGGTACATTTTTTGGTAATCTATCGTTTTGGGTACGTAAAATCGCCCGCGATTTGTAATGTGAAAAACAGGTGACTCCTTAAATTTTAATAATTATTTCACATTTTGAGGAGGATTTATGTTTTAAAAAATTCAAAAATGTTTCCTTGATTCATTTATGTACCTGTTTTTAAACAATTGAATTAAAACTTTTCCGTAATAAATGAACACTAGCGATGTTTCCAACACATGCAACCATGCTCATTTACTATAGCAGCCATCTTGTCTAAGTTTTATTTTTATAAGCTTTTAGCGCCAGATTCAGGGGGAAGCCACTCTATTTTACAAATGGCTGCTGTTTATATAGCAAATCTTGCTCTCAGACACTGCTGTTTAAAGTTAATTTCTGGCCTATATCGATATATTTAGCGATTGATTTAGGTTTATTATTCATTTATCTAAAATATTTGACACAAACATATGACAATATACTTCTATTAAAGCCTTGACAATGAGGTAACGTTTTCGTACATAAATAGCCGCGGGCGATTTTACGTACCCAAAACGATAGATTACCCATTTTTTTTTGTAGTCCTAAATATTAAATAAAAAATAAAGTCTAAACTCTAAAGTTAACTAGATCTAGATTCTAGAATCTAGATCTAGCTCTACTAAAGTCTAAAGTAAAGTCTAGTGACTAGTCTCTACTAAGTACTAGATCTACTAACTGACCTAGAGATCTAGATTCTAGTTCTAACCTCTGACTCTGTCTAGACTAGAGATGGATTACTGTCAAACTGATGCACTTAACTTAGGACTTAGGTGGTCATCGTGTTATTAATTGACTTAGAACTCCACGTTTTTTTGGACCATTTTTACCCCACTCCAGCGTCACAAAAAAAAACCAGACCCCTCCCTAAAACTCACCTCAGCCTACAACCCCCCCCCCCCCACACACACACACACCCTCAAAATTGCAGTTTAATAATAATTTCTTTCAAAACATCTATCTAGATTCTAGATCTATTTCTTTCTAAAATATTGACTGAGCTTGGTCAACGTATAATCCGTATATGTATAGTATAGTAGATTGTTATTATTGTACATTAATCAATTTCTATAACGATTCACAACAGTTTTTTAAATGCTAAATATTGAAAACAACATTTTTTTCAATGCAAAAGTATGACGCCACACTATCTGATACCCCCCCCCCCCCTCATTATCAATCGGTACAGGATTGTTACATCATTGATGAATGATCCCCTAAGCATGCTACGCCACTTACTTTAATATATAAATTTAAGAAAAACCAATTTAGAATAAATGTATATGCTATACTTAATAGATCTATATGGGATCAGAATTTTAAGCTGACATTCTAGTCTTATGACCTGGGAGGTTTAAGTATATATAGCTGTATTACTATAATATTGGATGAATCAGTTTCAGTATCATAATAATAATTAACAATTTTAAAATGTATATTATTGAATAGTTTTTCAACTTTTTTTAGTATCAACAAAATAACCATATTTATTTAATTATATTTAAGTCATATAACTATTAATTTTTTTTAAAGAAAAAAATTGTCTTGAACAAAAACTTCATGTACAAAAATTAAATCGACATACACTTGAGCAAGAGCTTGAAAAGGGTAAGAATATTATTTGAAAAATCAGCACCAAATAAAGTATATTCTGTGAAGTAGGCCTAAGATTTACAATTTAATAAAATTGATTTATTCAAAAGTATTTTTATTATTATAGACAAATATTCTTCTTCCTAACAGCCTCAGAAAAGTATTCTCGGATGCAGGAAAAGCATTTTAAACTTGCAGGTACTAAACTATAGTCATAGGAAAGTGGCTCCTTTTTTTAAAAATTATATACTGTTGTATAATTAAAACAAACCTTGCTGATCAGTAACAAATAATAAATATAACAAAGTTTAATGGAAGCACACATCTTGAGATTAACTTCTGCAACTACCTTTGGTTAAGAAATATTCGTTTCATTACTTTGAGGTTAGAATACTCTGCTGTTAGTCATGTGTACACTCATTTTCATGTCAGCAACTCAGTGTCTGTTAAAGTGCCTTCTTGTGTTTAGCATTTGTAAATGCCTATTGATTACTAAGGCACCATTGTCATTCTCAGCAGCTTCCTTAAATTGCTGTAATGTACTTCTCTGTTTGATAAATCACTCATTAAACTTAAAGGGTCTATGTCTATACATGTTTGGTTAATGAAGGAACCTTCTTGAGGTTATTGCCTGATGAGTAATATAGAAAACCATTTTGATGTCAGCATCTGTAGCCTACCTGTCTGTTGTTAATGAAGGTGTTCATTATAAAGTCAGACACTCTATTGTTAAAGAAGGTGTTCATTTTAAAGTCAGACACCTTTGACCCCACTCTTCTAAGACACAGCTGATAACACATTTTAAATACTGTTAACTTTATGGTGTTAGTGTTGAGTGAGTTGCCAGTGAAGTTTAAGTAGTTGATATGGAGTTATATAAAAATAAGGGAAAAGTTGTTGCCTCTTTATGTTCCCATTTCCTACACTGAAAACCCCCAGTTTCTAACAATAGTATCATGTATAGTAAGCCTACTTGTTTCTGAACTATAAAGTTCATTATTTTTATTAAGGTTAAAAATATCTTATTCACATTATTTATTTATAAAGTTCATAATATGTTCTTTACATAAGTAGGTTATTAAATATTAAAATGTGTGCATTTTTAAATTTAATCAGCTATGGATTTAAGGGTTCAATGTTTTATACATTTTTTTTTAGAAACATTGGCTGTTGCCCAACAAAAAGTGAATCAAACACAAGGTTTGTCAGTGGGGTAAGAATTTAGGTTTTAGCTCAGCAACATCATAAATATCCTGATTTTGTTTCAGCGTATTATTTGCACAGAAAAAATTAATTCAACTCGTGAAATTTAAGCAACTATATATTGTCAACAATATTCTAAATTTTTCTTAAAGATCATTAAATTTTTTTTATTATTTTAATACATTAATTACTGTTAAGTTGTCAGATTAGGTATTTAGAACCCAAACAACAATACCATTTGAGATAGAGTTGACAAGTTTACAAACTCCAATAATTGAATCCTTGAGGATTTGTTTAATTAATTGGTTTTTACTACAACAGCAGGATTCGAAATCTAAAACAAGAATAGCAATGATTGTCACCTGTTTCACTGCATTCATATATGGTATATTTAGAACACAGAATGTTTTATTTTAATGATTCTATTACTAAGATGATTGAAGAATTGAGAAAAATCATCCAGTTGCATCTTGCAGATCAAGAATTTACAATCTTCAAAAATAAATTTTATTACATCATTTTAAAAACATTTTATTGGTAGAGATGACCTGTTATTATTTATATACTAATATTTACAGTTTGCAAGATGAAATCAATAGATACAGACCTAAGCTTGAACATCTTCAATTGTCTATAGAAAATGAGAAACAGCTGCAGCAGAAACTTATGTATGTGGAAATGTTACCTTACAAAAATTACATTTAAGGCTTTATCTACCAATAGTATGGTTTTTTTAATAATCCAGTGGACTGATTTTATGAATTACTGACTTAATTTTTGTTACAGGGAAAATTTTGAAACCTCATTGGATGAAATAGCTGGACAACTCTTTGAGGCTAAAAGATTTTATGTAAGTTTGTGGCACATTTGAATAGATTTTTTAAATTAAAAAAACCCACTAAGACAACAATAGGCCTAATAGGTCTAATAGGCCTATGTTATCACTTGTTTAAATTTAAACCAAAACTAATTTGATAAGCCAACAAAGGTTTTGTGTCTTTATATTATAGTAAATGGCATCTACTTTTAGATATTATGTTTTTTAATTATTTCACATTTGATTTTAATATTAGAATAAAGCAACTCTAACCAGTGAAATAAATAAAGCAGAATTGGAGCAAGGAGAACTAGAAACTAAAGGTAATTGCAATATGCTTTAATTGCAAGATACAAATTCTAAATTGCTGTAACCATAATTAATTTTTAAATAGACACTTCCACATTTGACAATGGTACAAATCTTTCAGTCTTGTAGTTGTTATACATTTTTGTGCTGTCTTTTCCCAATACAATTTCAATAGGGTACTCAACTCTATGTGGAATATTATGACTTTATTGTCTTTAATTGATCTTGTTAGAGTCAATGTCATCTTAAGTGTAATGCTAATTGTTGTAAAATATAATTTTTAACAGATATAATTAAAAGCATTTGTTTATAGAATTTTTGTGTTGGTTTTTTTAAGATGCAGATGGACACAAAAGAATTCACATTTTGAAACAAAATCTGAACAAAATCCAACTAGAAAAAGAATCTCAACAGCTGTCTCATTATGGAGTTGAGGAGACATTAAATTTGTGTTTAAGGTCTTTATTAACAAAAATTGGTAGATTAACTACCATATTTTTAAAAACCATATTGCAAATGATGTTTTAATTTGTCCAGGTTGTGACACACTAGTAGCGATAAAGAAAACACATTTACAAGAAACAACTTAATTTTTTAAAATTCAAAGCAATCTCAAGACTTATTAATTCTCAATGAAGTTTGACTCACACACTTTAAAGATGATTTTTAAACATTGAAATTAATTCATATAACAATCAACTGAAGCTTAATCCTAATTTTTTTTTTTTTTGTTTCAAGGTTTATTAGTTGTTTTTCTATCCACAGAGCACTGGAGAGGGACAGAATAAATATGGTATCTTTTCTTGAAAAGGTCAAGGCAGACCAAAGAGAGATGCATAACATTCTATGTAATGCTCAGCTAAGTGACCATGAGAAATAGGATTTAAAAATTAAACTTGTTAATGCAATCATGTTGTAAATATTAAATTTATCATTATTATTCATGTTATTATTCAAAAGCTGTGGTGCATTAGAAATATAAAAATCTATTTCCCTGATTATATGGAATAATGCAGCAAAGAAAATAAATATAATGGTCAATTCCATAACCTCTATAGCTGTTGAAAGTGTTAAATTTATTCGGTGCTTTACTTTTTCAATATGTCAATACATGTGGAGGACCATATAACTAGTCTAACCTTTCTGATGAACTGCCGTCTTCCCCCAGCAAAAATATTCTCTGAGTAAGGTATTCTAGGCCCAGAGTCTAGACTACATCTGTTGGTACAAAGTGCGGTCTTCTAAAATATGTTTGGTACTTTCTGAGGCCATATTTCACTGTGACCAACTTTCATTTTGCAAAAGTTTGTATCATATTTTGGCCAGTTCTAAATATTAATTGGTTCTGGTTTGTCAGCTTGTAGTAGATGTCAGCCTTGTTACATAGTTCAGTCAGACCACCGGTAGAATAGCTTTTCTTAGTTCTTTGCATGCCTTTTGGATGTAGTGATACCTGTGGCTACTTTGATTTTACATAAATACTAAATGCTTTGCAGGCAGGTAGCAATTTAATTTGAATGTTATCCATGATCCACACTGCAATGTCTTGCAGTTGATATTATTAACCATATAAGAACTATATAAGTGTTAAAAAAATAAAAGGCAAAAAGTTTTAAGATAAACCCTCTTTATTCTTTCAAAATAAATCACTTATTTATAAGTTCATATATCAATGATTATACACAGATGAAAATATGATTATGAAATCAAGCAATTTAGCTCTGTTTAGTAGTGATCTAATTTAAGGGAATATTTCAAACCTATATCCATTAGATATATCTAAACAAGCAAAAACCATGAAAGGTAAAATTGTGGTGTTTGAAATTTCTAAGGAATGTTGATCATACAGCAAGCCACTACTTATCCGAATATAGCTTAACATAGATGATATAATGAAATTCACCACTAATGTAATTCAATACTTTTTGCTGACAGACAGCTTAGAAATTGTATGAGATGGTGTGGTTAGCTACCTGTCTACTCTTTAAAAAAAATTTAAAATTTTATACCTGAATAAATACTTTAAAAAAGTAATATTTTAACAAAATGATAATAAAATTGTAACAATTTACAATAGCTAATAATAAAATGTATCATAAATGATATGGTAACTTTGTATGACAAAAACAACACATGCATGACATTATATTACAAAGGATCACAGGATAATTAACTCAAGATGTTATGGAAATCTTTGAACAATAACAAGAAAAATGGTATTTAATTTCTTCTGTTTTTGTATAATCTAAAATTAATTCTGAGTAAGGGCTAAATAAACAGTTTAAATGTTTTAAAAGTGTGTGTGGATATATTTATATACATACACAGACTTAAACAATTTTTTAAGTGTCTTAGATAACCTAATAATATTAATTAAAGGTAAGAAATATAAAATATCACTATGAAGATCTATACAAAACTTTTATTAAAAAATTGGATAAATTAATAATGAAGCTGATATTACCTCTGAGACATGCTCATGTATGTTGAAAAAACAAAACAACAGTAACATATCTCAGTTTTAAATTGTAGGCTATGATGACACACAAATAGGAATGGTCTGAATAGGTCTGTTTTCTCACAAAGAACCTACATTCACAACCATATAAACAGCAAGATCAAGCAGCTTGCATAAGAACACATTTTCTGATTGGGGATTTTATTTTACAGGTATACACAATTCCCCAGGATAGCTAATAGAATAGTCACAACAATAGACTAATAATTTGAAGAGTGGAGTAAAAATGAGAATAATAGTGTTCTGATACAATTTAATTGCTTTATTTTAATAAAGTGATTTTAAGTAATGCTTTAATTAAAATGTAGTTAAATAGTGTAATGGGACTGTAATTGTAATAGGAAACAACCTATTCTATAAACAGTTAATACATTGCTGAACCAATACATTATTTTAACTATAAAAAATTTGGCTGGTTACAGTTCATTTCAATATTTTCTGCTCTCTGCGGCTCAACAGCATTCCTGCTTTACTGTCTTCAGTATAAGGTTGGTTTGGTGGATCAGATAATTAGCACTCAAAAACACATTATGATTCCTGAAAGTCAGAAGTAAAAAATGGGAGTAATTGTATACTGTTCAAGAAATTAAGTTTACAATAAGCAAAGTTTAAGTGACCGTCTTAGAGAGTTAAAAGCCTTACTGATTTGTATCTCTGAAATATTCCTTGAGAGTGTTACTAAATTTCTTGGAATAACGCACAAACTCTTTCTTCCTTTCTTCTAAGATCTGGAAAAGTTATAAATGAGGTTGAGTTTTTAAAAAATAAAGTATCAGTGGTTAAAGGTGCTCGTAATTACATCAGTGTAAATAATAAGCAACAAGAAAAACTACCTGTTTACTTGCAGGTTCAGATACTGGTATATCAGCAATAACACGGTTCACAGCATCCAAAAGAATTTTTATTGAGCTCGCTATCTCCCTGTCAATTTTTAAAAAATGGTTCATAATTACAAGTTTAAATATTTTTTTACAGTAAAAAGCATTTTTAACCCAATTTGAATTTATTGTCAAAGTAAAATAAATATTTTTTAAAAATTAAATTATTTCAGAATTTTCTATTTGTATTTCATTCAAATAAATTACATTATTTCAAAACCTTTTTATTTGTGTTTCATTATTGAGCTACTCATAATTGTAATATTAGTTAAGGCTGTTTTCTCAATTCTTTGCTTATACCAATACAGGTAGATAAGAAAGTATTCTTTAACTGAAAAATGTGATAGTTTTGAGACAAAATGGTTGTAATTTCTTACTTTATAGTTTCAAGAAACTGTTTTCTGTCAAATATTTGATCAGGGATACGGCTCAGGATCAACTTCAGATCACATGCACACTTGTATAATGTTTTATAAGAAGGTTCCCCTCTTGGAATTCTAAGCTCTGATGAATTTAACAAATATATTGCTAGGTATTAGACAAAATATTGTTTTCTTGACCTAGCAATGAGCAAACTTAGTATATTTTGAAATGGAAATAAAAACTCAGTTTTGAAACTTAAATTTAAAAAAGCCTTACCTTCAGAATCGATAGTTCCTCCAAGTCTAAGCAATGTTTCACACATATCCAATCTATCTATCAGTTCTCCCTTTTTTAACAAACATTTCACAAGATCAAAAGTGAGACCTGGAATGGTGGTTTCTGCCTGCAATGTTGGTGAACAGAATTATTACTGTATGATATAATAAAATATACACATAATGTACACATTAATTTTATACATCTTAATAAAATCCAAGATACGATCAATAGCATTGAAGTTAGTGGGAATGGCTTGTGATGTCAGGGTCAGGATCAATGTTATGGTTGATTACTATTTAAATAAGCTTCATAATGACATGCTGGTGTTTTAATAATAACATAATTTACTTACCTTAGACTTCACAGTAAGTTATTTTTTTTATTATTATTACATGCCAATGCTAAAAAAAGTGTATTATCACTTATCAACACCTTGATAAACTCTTTTAAGTTTACCTTTAATTGAAATGATAAAGAACTAACCTTAGAGATGGCTCTTCTCAAGGTCTGTGCTGAAGATATGTCTTTCTTTTCAAGCTAAACACAAATAAAGAAACATTTAAATGAAAGTGGCCCATCTTAGTTTAAAATATTAAAATACAAATACAATTACAGAGTGAATAAGCAAATAAAGAAAGAGCAAAATTTTTTAAACTAATTCTCTTTTCCTATATCATACGAATAAATACATCATAGGGTGTCAGAATTAGAAACCCTACAGTAATAAACTAAAATACAAAAATATATCAGCTTATAATACTTATGATAAACAAAAATTACCTTATCAAGTGTGGGTCCTATAACAACATCCACCATCAATTTTGAATATAAATTTTTGTCTCCCATGGTAATTATGTGAAATTAAACTAGGAAGAGAAAATAGCTCAGGTTGAATGCATATATATATATATATATATATATATATATATATATATATATATATATATATATATATATATATATATATATATATATATATATATAATTTTCAATGACAAATTCAAAGTAGGCGTACCAATTTCCACAATTAGTTTCACCATTTCAGACTTTGTATATAGACTTAAAGTATATTAAATTTAAATAAAAAAATAGAACACTCTTTAACCCCTGCCTCACTTAACAAAGTATAACATTTCCAAAGAACATTCACATTATTATAGCTGCACCACCGCAAATGTAGATCTATTTCAAGTCCAATGAGCCTGATGATTTAGTTTTTACAACAAGAAAGAAATGATTGTCAATGATTGAAAAACTTATTATTATGTTGATGATTGAATAACTAATTAACTTATCCCTAGTTTTACACAGCCTACTTTATTTTTTCTCTTTTAATGTTAATTTAAAAGTGTTGTATGTTGTTCTTTGATCTAGTTTAATTTTTTTTTAATATTGAAAAATCTTAATGTCGTTGCTCCTATGATCGCCCGCTCATATTTTCTTGTCTCTATCGACGGGTCAATGAATGCATATAAAAACTTAGATCACAGCCTGAGTAATAGCAATGTGACAAATGTGCTTGGGTTCATTGTGAATTTATATAAGCTTGTCAGAGGTAGAAATATTTAGCCACATTGTTAATGTAAGGCTAATAATAATAATACCTTCTGATTTTTAACACTTTGTATTGTTGTACTTGCAGAAAGCGTTAAAGCACAAATAAACAATTTAGAAAGTTAGGGCTAATTTATTTTTAATCGAGTAATTTTAATTATAAACATTTTAAAAAATCAACAAAATTGATATTAATATGATGAAAAAATAAATTGTAAATGGCGGCAATAATACAAACTTTCTTTGCAACAATACTAAATGCTTGCAGCGGCAGCTTTGAGCACGGTGATGTTCAAAGGCAATATATCGGGTGGCTTCTGTGTTTGATACAGAAGAAAGAAGTTCATTTATTTTTGGCGCGTCTTGTGACGAAAAGAAATTTAAAATGTGCTATTTCCGGCAGTTTTGAACAAGGTGGTATTCTAAGTGGACAAAAAAAAAATGAATCTGACAAATTATCAGCACATCTAGTGATGGAAAATTCAGATGTTATAATAATAATGAAGGGCCTTTAAAGTCTGCATCAAAGTTCATTGCAAATTAGGTGCCGTATAATTTCGTTGACCGTTTCACATTTTATTGGATATAATTATAAAATATCTTAAGACAACCAGCTCAAGTATCGGGTGGGGGGGGGGGGGGGGAGGGGGTAAGATGCACGACAAAAATGTCATGTGACCAGCGGTTTTCGCACCCTTCTCACAATTTACCATGACCCATATTCCATGTTATGTCTACATGTTTTGGGAAAATTTTAAAATTATCTCAGATAGCAATGATCATGCTATGACGTATGCTATGCACATACTCAGACTGATTTCTAAACTACTATGAACTAACACTGACTCCTCCACCATGTCTGATTTTTCTCCTGCTGACAAGAAAATGTGAGTGGGCTATCATATAGTCTGGCGCGTTGCTTAGATGGCTGGATTGACCTCTGACCCTGAAACGTCACGCGTCGTTTTTAGACGGTTTTTACGTTTATTTTAGGGGTCCCATCCACGACAAATGAAAAAACTGTTAATCTCGCAAATTCTCATCATTATTTTAATGCAGAATGCTAATAAAATGGATAATATGCCTTAGAATGCCAGAAAAAATCGAGAGATTTGTTGTTGTAAATAATGAGAGGATTTCTAGTGGAGCGCTCTCCGTAAAAACTGAACCGCCGCTAAAAACGACCGACCTCCGGGGAAAACGGCCCGACAGACTCTAAGTTATTATATAATTGAGATATTTACCTTGTATATTTACATTATTATTGATTCTGGTTTCCAAAATCTTATCCCAAAATGAGGTACCCACGCTGACATTTCTATCCGCTATTTTTAGTATCATGACGTCATTGGTACGCTAGTTGCCAGACTGAAACAACTAGTTTTTGTTTTTTACGGAATGAACTGTTAAGTCTAGTATTTTAATTATAATTCAATTGTAGCATGTGTGGAAAAAGTAAAATTATGGACATTATTGTTGTATTAGTAATTGTATTAGTATATTGATTTTTTCTTCACTGTGGGCCGACAGTTGCTGCATTCGTGACCGGTGGTTAACCTCGTCAACGCTGCGTGGCCTATTCGTTTATATAATTAGTGATGCTCGTTGAGTGGCCTTTTTCAGAGCTAGGCCTAATTACGGGCGATTTTTAGACTTAATTGATCGGCCGTTAGCCCTTTTCATTGCTGCGTATTTTTTAAAAAAATGCTCGTTCAGCTGCCTTTTTTTTTTGGCGCTAAATAATCTGTTTACTGGCATTTTACGCGTTTATTTATTTTAAGCTAGACGTAGATCTAGTTAAATTTTTTTTTATACAGCTGGCTGTCTAGCATGCCTGATATGTGAACTTTAAAAAAAATGACCGAACTTTAAAAAAAAATGACCAGAAGTAGGGAAGTAGGTCTGTTATTCAATTTGCTTGAAGAAGGGGGGGGGGGGGGGGGGGGGGGGAAGAGAGAGAGAAGTGAAGACACCGACCATCTCGTGTACGCGTGTTCATTCTATGACGTGTACTATAGGTCACGGTGACCCCGCGACCGTGGTGGGATTTTTCATCCACAGGATAGTAAACATAAGCAAGCAATCACGCGAGTGACGATGTTTGGAGATTTTATTTTTAAAAAAAAATCACATACGTCATGTTTTCAAGATGAAAAAAAATGTAATGTAAAAAAAAGGGGACACTAATACCATGTATGAACCTCAGCTGCCACACTGTTGACTCAATATAATGTGATTGAGTGTAAAATGTATTTGTATTTATAAACTATCTTAGCAATTACTATCATATTATTTTATGCATATTTATTATTTGAAATAAAAATATTTATTATGGTCATTTGATTTATGCAGGTGTTCATTACTTCATAAAATGGTATGAATAACATGTAGAGTAGAATTTAATAAATAATAAAATAACTAGATCTAGTTTTATTATCAACCAGTTGCTTTTTGTTATTTTCCGGTGAGTAAATTACCTAAGCTGACGCAATTACCATGGCGGGAATTAAAAGCTCGTGGACACAAGTCCACGACGTAATGTTATGCCGGTCGAGGGGATAAAACGCGGTTTTGTCTTTCATTTTCCAATATCGGAAAAATTTCAAATTCTCTCTTTTCTCGTCAACTGAGTAAGCTAGATATTTAAATGTGGTGTCAAATGTTCTCTTAAGGGGTAAGGAAGTTAATGGTGTAATTGAAATAACAGAATATTTTATTTAAAAAAATCCATAATTCAACCTACTATCATATGAGCCTTGGTCTATATTTCTTGAAAACTTTTTAAAAAACTAGACCTACATTTAAAAAAAGCATACAACACTCGTGATTGATCTACTTGTTTAGGCACCGCAAATGTTTCTTCTCACAAACTTTTGTTCTTGCACATCTCAAAAAAAGAAACATGAAACAAAAAAAAGGCCTGCTGGTGATTTACCCCAACCAATTCATTTAGACCTAGACTAGAGTCTAAATCTAGTAGAAATTGTGTTTCGCATCTTGCATTTTACCAAGACCACCTATCATAATCTTGATCTAGAATCTGTTATAGCAACTAGGAAAAAATCCAATCTCCACTCAAACTGGTTACAAACCAAGCTCAGCTAACTCTGCGCTAAGCTCTTCTTAGATCTAGTAAATCTTAGAACCCAGAAAGTGGTTTTGAGTCGTCAGATCATGTCGTGGATAATGCATTAATTTTAGGAAAACACTAGTCACTACTTTCTTTAAGTAATCGAATGTAAACAAAGTTACCATAATATATCACAATATTTATTTCCTTGAAAATGAACAGTTACTGGTGTGGTAAACTAACGGACATTTGACCTGACCCGTTTGTCGTGTCAGTGTCAACAAGGAAGAAGGGCGTAACGGAAGTGTAGCCAAATTATTGTTGTTATTGAAATTGCCAGTTTGCCATTTATCTCCACTTTGCCTTTGCCATATCACTTTAAAAATACTGTTAGTGTTGTGTACGGCACACGCTCAATGCCCAGACGTTACTTAATTAAGCAGTTTTGTTAATTATAAATCAACGGTACCAAATTATCAATGGCAAAATAGTATCGACTATAAGACAGACACTCCGAGTTGTAAAATATATTTTAGAATTTTAAACTACTTTAATGATGTGTTGGTTGTTTGGAGGACAATCGATCATCGATTTTTTTATTGATTTCCCACGGAAGTTAAAATATTGATCCCGGAGCCACTTGGTTCAAGCAAAAGTTTGGAATTAATACCTAAATTATCTTATACAAGATAAAGACTGACCTTAAAAACCAATGAAGTTTCTCCAACAAACTTAATATCCAATAAGATTTTTCTTAACACCATCCCAGGAAGAAAACGTGTTTTGCAATGTGTAAGTGGTTCCGCTGTATGTGCGTATGCACATTAAAGTATCAGCACGTACTATTATATTATTACATTCTGGCAATATTCGCCACCACTATTAGTATTAAGTAAGACAGGCTGGTTGAGAAGCATCTTGATATATGTATAGTTACATCGGCCCTAAGGAATCGTCGTGTATCTGTACAAAGCTCTAGCCCATTTTATATATATATATTTGGTCAACATTTTTTACATGTATTACAAAAACAGATCGATTATAATGCTTTTATTGTTTTTGGTTGTGTTTATATATATATATATATTATTGTGAGTGTGGGTGTTGAATAGTTTTATTTTGGCTGCCTACATTGTGTTTTGTTCATTTATCTTTAGAGCACTCGTTGAATGTATTTTACACCATAGCGAAGTAATGATATACAGCAAGTATATATATATATATATATATATATATATATATATATATATATATATATATATATATATATATATATATATATATATATATATATATATATATATATGGTGCCTTTTTCTCAACTCTCCACCCTCTAACCCGAAAACCTGCATACGCCTCTGGTCCCTAGATAATCCAATCCAGCTCTCATGTGTACCTGACTCATTGAATCCACCCACCTCTACTGGGTACCTGACCAGTTGGACGTTCCTCTGTAAACTCAGCTCTGATGGGTACTTTACCCATTCAACGTGCCTAATCCATCAAACCTGACACGGCAACGTCCCACGTCCACCCACCTCTCATGTGTACCTGACCCGTAGACGTCCCACGTCCACCCAGCTCTCGTGTGTACCTGACCCGTAGACGTCCCACGTCCACCCAGCTCTCATGTGTACCTGACCCGTAGACGTCCCACGTCCACCCAGCTCTCGTGTGTACCTGACCCGTAGACGTCACACGTCCACCCAGCACTCATGTGTACCTGACCCGTAGACGTCCCACATCCAACCAGCTCTCGTGTGTACCTGACCCGTAGACGTCCCACGTCCACCCAGCTCTCATGTGTACCTGACCCGTAGACGTCCCACGTCCACCCAGCTCTCATGTGTACCTGACCCGTAGACGTCCCACGTCCACCCAGCTCTCGTGTGTACCTGACCCGTAGACGTCCCACGTCCATCCAGCACTCATGTGTACCTGACCCGTAGACGTCCCACGTCCACCCAGCTCTCGTGTGTACCTGACCCGTAGACGTCCCACGTCCACCCAGCTCTCATGTGTACCTGACCCGTAGACGTCCCACGTCCACCCAGCTCTCGTGTGTACCTGACCCGTAGACGTCCCACGTCCACCCAGCTCTCATGTGTACCTGACCCGTAGACGTCCCACGTCCACCCAGCTCTCGTGTGTACCTGACCCGTAGACGTCCCACGTCCACCCAGCACTCATGTGTACCTGACCCGTAGACGTCCCACGTCCACCCAGCTCTCGTGTGTACCTGACCCGTGGACGTCCCACGTCCACCCAGCTCTCATGTGTACCTGACCCGTAGACGTCCCACGTCCACCCAGCTCTCATGTGTACCTGACCCGTAGACGTCCCACGTCCACCCAGCTCTCATGACCAGTTGGACGTTCCTCTGTAAACTCAGCTCTGATGGGTACTTTACCCATTCAACGTGCCTAATCCATCAAACCTGACACGGCAACGTCCCACGTCCACCCACCTCTCATGTGTACCTGACCCGTAGACGTCCCACGTCCACCCAGCTCTCGTGTGTACCTGACCCGTAGACGTCCCACGTCCACCCAGCTCTCATGTGTACCTGACCCGTAGACGTCCGACGTCCACCCAGCTCTCATGTGTACCTGACCCGTAGACGTCCCACGTCCACCCAGCTCTCATGTGTACCTGACCCGTAGACGTCCGACGTCCACCCAGCTCTCGTGTGTACCTGACCCGTAGACGTCCGACGTCCACCCAGCTCTCATGTGTACCTGACCCGTAGACGTCCCACGTCCACCCAGCTCTCATGTGTACCTGACCCGTAGACGTCCGACGTCCACCCAGCTCTCATGTGTACCTGACACGGCAACGTCCGACGTCCACCCAGCTCTCATGTGTACCTGACCCGTAGACGTCCGACGTCCACCCAGCTCTCATGTGTACCTGACCCGTAGACGTCCGACGTCCACCCAGCTCTCGTGTGTACCTGACCCGTAGACGTCCCACGTCCACCCAGCTCTCGTGTGTACCTGACCCGTAGACGTCCCACGTCCACCCAGCTCTCGTGTGTACCTGACCCGTAGACGTCCGACGTCCACCCAGCTCTCATGTGTACCTGACCCGTAGACGTCCCACGTCCACCCAGCTCTCGTGTGTACCTGACCCGTAGACGTCCGACGTCCACCCAGCTCTCATGTGTACCTGACCCGTAGACGTCCCACGTCCACCCAGCTCTCATGTGTACCTGACCCATAGACGTCCCTAGTCAGAAATGGTGTGCGCAGCTGCTATAGTGCAGACCACAAAAAAGCACACATACAGAATCGAAACATTCTATTTCATCATGATGAAAATGGATGTGGGATGTTTCATTTGTTTTTAAAAATAAAGCTCAGCCGTATTAGAACCAGAGTATCTTCCAGGCATCTCTTGGGGGGGGGGGGGGGGGGGGGGGGCTAAGTCCCCCCCCCCCCGAAAAAAATTCTACCACTCCCCCCCCCCCCCGAACGAAATGAAATTTATATAGAAAATATATACTTTTAACAGTTCCCGCCCCCCCCCCCCCCCCCCCCCCCGGAGAAAAAAAGTCTGGAAGAAACACTGGTTACAACGGAAGTATTGTTTTTTTTTAAACTATCGTACCAACTGTAGATTTTGGTAACTATCTGTTTTTAACGTCAAGTTATTAACGTATCTCTTTAATCGTGTCCTACCGTACCTGAATGTCAATTACTTAACGGCTTTGAAAAACGCCTTGGGCTCCGATCATAAGATTAGCGTATCCTTGTTTTTGCAGTTATTTCTCAGTCCTAAGCAAATTTTTATTTAATGACAACTAAATAAAGTTGTCGATTTTATTCTTAGAATGTGAAAAGGCCTAAATATAGTTTATGCCACACTAGCGTGCACAAGGCGTGGGTTAGGGTGGGGTGGGGGTTGGGTGGGGGTGGGGGCGGTGTGACCACAACCGGTGACAAAAATAAAGAGGGTGGTAGTAGAGCTAAATTTAATAAGAAAATTTGCTTTTTCAGTTAAGTTTAATTGCCTATTGTTTTTTAAGTTATATTCATGATCGTCAAGCACATGGCGACTCCATCGGTGATAGTGGTGACCAGTGTTTCTTCCAGACTTTTTTCTCCGGGGGGGGGGCACTTGAAATTTTCGGGGGGGGGGGCGGTAGATTTTCTTCGGGGGGGGGGGGGGCGGACACTGTTAAAAGTATATATTTTCTATATAGATTATATAAATTTCATTTCGTTCGGGGGAGCGGTAAAATTTTTTCGGGGGGGCTTCGCCCCCCCCCCCCTGAAGAGATGCCTGGAAGAAACTCTGGTGGTGACACAGAATTTTCATAGTTTTCGTATATATATATATATATATATATATATATATGTTACGGCCAAAGCCCGAAGTGCGGCCAAAGCGCGGATTGGCCGGCCAATCCGCGCATTGGCCGGCTCTCTTGGCCAAAGCCCGAAGAATTTAGCACTAAGATCGTATTTCGTACATTGGCCGGCCAATGCGCGCACTGGCCGGGACGTACTGGCCAAAGTCCGAAGCGCTTAAACTTGACAGCGTATTTTGTACATTGGCCGGCCAATGCGCGCACTGGCCGGGATGTCCTGGCCAATGTTCTATCTAGACTAAAATGTGATCGCATTTTCATTATTCTGGGTGAGTTTTCATTGAGAGTAACGTATTGTTTAGCTCGTGTTTGTATAGCATTCTATATGCAAGGCGACATGGATCAAAAGGGCCGTCAGACCATGAGACAGGCATAGCAGATGGCTGTCAAAAGAAAAAAATGTAAATCCATGTTAGTTTCCATATATGGCCTCTCGATAAAATAGTTACTGAGGAAGATCTTGAGAACATTGAACAAGAAATTGAGGTTGCCATAAATGCAACGACATCCTCAGCTAACACATCTACTGCCGTGGCGGAACGCCCAGACCATTTGCGTGACAATAATGTGGCCAACAGATTCTATATAGTTTGTGAAAAACATTGTAGTGCAGCTCATTATTTTGGATCCTGTGGCAACGATGTCCATGCTATTTGTGGAATACCCAATGAAGCAGACGAAGGGTACGGAGGGAACATTACCTGCAGATTGTGTCACAACAAACAAGACATCATGGAACACAGATCAGCAGCTCATACTGGCTTGCAAACTCAAGGTGCTAAGATGCTTAAAACATCAAATACAAAATTTAAATATGGTGAAGTGGGTGACAATGTATGCATCCGTTTTACAGATGTTGACAGAGGTCACGGTGATCCCCGAAGCGTGATTGCATTTGTCATGAGCGTCGAGGGCGGTTTCTACAAAT